CTGTATGGTTATTTGTGATGCTAGCATAAGCTTTGTCTTATTTGTTCATGTTTCTGTCTCGGTGTGACTCCTCAGAGCCTTTCCCAAGTACATTGCTTGATGTTGATGGCCCATTTCCACATGCTCTCATATTACTGTGCAGGTTTCTTTTGGAGCACTTATCACAATGTGTCAGTATTTATTTAGTGTTTTTCCCTGTCTGTCTTCCCTATCAGAGTATAATGCTGGGAAGACAGGGCCTTTTACAATATTGAAAACAACACAGCAAGGATGTTGGTGGGGAGGATAGATTGTCAGTAAGAATAAAACTTTTAGCTTAGTGCTGAGATTGCAGTGAGCTGCCATGGCCAGCTGAAAACAAACAAACAAACAAACAAACAAACAAACAAACCAGGCGATGACTGCTGGTGGCAACTGGGGACATTTGGGAAGTTTTAGTTTGTTTAATGTTGCATTGATAATGAATACTTGTCATGTGTTTTATAGGGACATCAAGTTTTCACTTATGAATCCTTTGTCTTACTGCACTTCTCTCTGCTTTGAAGATTTTTTTCTCTAATGCTAATAGAATCTTCCCTTTCTTCTCTGAGTTGATCCAACAATTATTTATGCTCTGCCTTTTGTGTCAAAATTATAAAAGTTAGAGAAAGAGATTATATGGAGACATGGTAAATGCTGTGTTTCTTGAATGACTCACTATCATATCCACACAGTGAGTTATGTCAATCTCCCATGTCAGTTTTCTCCTCATGTATTGTCCTCGTGAGAGTGTCAGTTAATTGTGGATTTCTGGTGTTAGTAGTTCTTGGTTATAAACATAGCTATGGAGGTTCCTCTGTAACTGACTGCATGTGCTATACAATGTCTCAAGTATACATGTTAGTCTTCTTTTAAAATCATTAATTTTTCTTTTTTAGAATCAGTGGGTTTTAGAGTCTGTTTACCCAAAACAATATAGAGAAACCTGTCTTGAAAAACCAAAAATAAATAAATAAAATAGAGTCTGTTTATAAGAATGCTAGTAAGAAAGTGAAAGAAGATAAGAGAACTTGGAGATAAGAGATTATTCTTTTACTTCATGGATCCTTTATGAAAATACCAAAGGCATTATCAAATATATTAAATGGTTCATATTGTATTGAACCTTTTGTAGCATGTTTGGAAATACTAAGAAGTTAGTTTTTAAAATGTATTTATTATTTTTTATGTACCTAGGTGTTTGTCTACATGTGTGCATATGTACTATGTATGCTAGGTATCCAAGGAAGCCAGGAAAGGGGTCACATTCCCTGGTACTAAAGTTATAGGTGGTTGTTAGGTGACATGTGGATGCTGTGTACTAAACTTAAGTCCTCTGCAAGAACAGCCAGTATTCTTAACTATTGAGTCATTTCCCTAGCCCTAGAAGTTACTTTTAAAATCTAAAAGATTGTTAGGTTACTTGAAATTTGTATACTGACATTTAGTTCAAGATTTAATGTGTACTTTGTTTGTACTATTTGTTGTGGATTGTTAGAAATTTTATTTATTATTAAAACATGTAGCCAGGTGTTGGTGGTGCATGCCTTTAATCCCAGCACTCGGGAGGCAGAGGCAGGTGGATCTCTGTGAGTTTGAAGCCAGCCAGCCTGGTTTACAGAGCGGGTTCTAGGACAACCTCCAAAGCAATACAGAGAAACCCTGTCTGGAAAAAACAACAAACCAAACCAAACCAAAACAAAACAAAAACTTGTTTTTTTTCCACTTGTAGTTCTAGGACAAATGGGAACTGTGCAGCATTACATTAAATGTGGAACATAATCCATTAAAAAGAAAATCAAGAGATTTCTGTTCTGTCTCAGATGTACAGCCAAGAAGGTTATTAAAATATCACCTCCTAAAGTGTTTAAGTGGCAGAATTCCAGGCTGCTATCAAAGTTGCCTTTATGTGAGAAGAAGCCTTCACAGGGAGAAATGGTACTGAAGATAGAGGTTAAAGGAAGGACTGAGTATGCTGCTGAGTACTCATCCATCCTTTGTGGATGAAAGGGACATGGGGACATTTCAGTCTGAAGTTGGCCATGGCTCAGGCCTGTAATCCCAGCCCTTTTGAGGCTGGGGCTGGAGTTGAAGTTTAGACAGAGTCACACAGTTAAGTGTTAGTCCAGTCTGGGATGCAATGTGACACCCTGTCTCAAATAGCAATAACAGGAAAACACAAAGTTTCAGTCTTTGTGGTTGTATAGCTCAATGGCATCACTTGAGATGAATTGATACATACAAATGTACTTATTAATATGCTGTTGATGGTTGTAGGTAAGACTTTAGGGGTATATCATAGAAAACTCTTCCTGTACTGCCCCATTGAACTTGGTTCTTAATGGCACATCTGCCATGTTTTCAAATATTGTGAAATTGAGAGAAATAACTAACCTGCTCATATGCAAAAGATTGATTCATAAAGATTGTACTGTTGGCCTGACAGTTAGGGCCACGGCCAAATCTCACACTCAGATCCAAATTTTGAAAGTTTTAAGTATCGAGATGCCAACTGTGATGGTGTATGCTGGTAACTCCAGGACTCAAGAAGTTGCAGTAAGAGGATTACTCAAGAGTTCAAGGCTTGCCCTGAGTACAGAGTTCCAGGCCAGCTAGGATAACATAGGAAGATCCTGTTTCAAAACAGCAACAATCCCTCTCCCCAAACAAACAACAGTTCAGCTAATTTGTTTTCAGTGTGATACTATTTGTTTTAAAAATTTAATCTTTATTGATCTCATGCTCTTTTGTAATTCTTAAAGCTGGTGCCCCCTCTGCCTATAGGCTTTTTATCCATCAGTTCTCAAACTTTAAAGTACATCAGAATCAAATAGGTGCCCTTTGAAAACACATATTCTTAGGCTGTGTCTTAAGAACTTGGCTCAGTGTAAACAGGACATCCTATTTTAACTAATATTTCAAGTGATTTTAGGTGGATGATCCCTAGCCTGCATAAGCAAACACTGATTTCAGACCCTATATTACCAGCCTCCTCCTCCTTTTCTGTGACAAAAGTACACTACAGCATAATCTTTACAGTTAGATATATAGTTTACACAGTAGACACACTAAACTACAAGATTAAGAAAATGACAAAAAAGGTAATATTAAGAGACAGAAACACCAAATACAGAGCTTTCATTAATGTTCGTAATCACAAATATATTCATTGCTTTTACACAAAAGAAGATTTTGAGAAAACCTTGCTTTTGTCTCCAGGGATATATCCAAGTTGCTTGAGGGAGGTAGTTGAGACTTGAGTATATTATCAAGAAAACAGTGACTTAAACTACCCACTTAACTTTGGGGCTAAAGGGGAGTCAGGGTCTCATGTAGCCCAGACTCCTTAGATTTGCTATGTAGTCAATGTTGGCTTTGAACTCATGAGCTGTTTTTCCTTCTACTTCTCGAGTGCCGGAATTATGAGCGATTAATTTCTCAGCTGTATCCACCCATTAATTCATCATCACTCTCTCTCACACACATACTCTCTCTGTTATAGAATAAGTCAGTCATTTAGAAACTATAGTTGGGGTTAGGGACTTAATGTAGTTGAAATTTGTTTTGATTTCCATGATGACCACAAATATCCTTTTAGATCTGTTTGCTTTTCTGATAGATAAAATTGTTGCTGTGATTCCATTCATGCCCTCCCTCCTCATGCCCCCCTCTCTTCTCTCCTTTTCCTTGTTTCTGGAGTCACTGTTTTGCTGCATAGGCAGGCTGGCCTTGAACTCATGATCCTTTTACTCAGCCTTCTGAACACTTGGTTACAGGCATGCACTAACACACTCAGAATGAGGAGAACCAATATTTCTTGAACTAATTTTTAAGTCCTATTCAGAGTAGTATTAAAATGAGATTACACACTGATGGTATAGGGACTTCATTTGTTATAGTGCCTGGTACTTTGCTTTTGCAACATTTTTACTAAAGATTCTTTTTAAAATTTAAAACTTATTTTATTTTGTGTGTATAGGTTTTTGCCTGTATGTATGTCTATGCACTATAGCATGTCTGGTACACCTGTGAAGTCCAAATGATGGTGCTGGATCCTCTGGAACTGGAATTACAGACAGCTGAGAGCTGCCATGTGGGTGCTGGGAATTGAAACCAGGTCCTCTGGAAGAGCAGCCAGTGCTCTCAACTTTTGAGGAATTTCCTCAGTTCCTCACTATAGATTTGTTGAAGGATGTAATTGTGTGCTAGTTTTTCATATCTCTGTCACTTCCTGTGTTTAGGATGCCTACTTAATTTTAGGAGATTCTTGGAGAATTATAGGTAAGAGCCAAAATAATGACATACGAATGTAGCCACCTGTTTCTAAGACAGGAAATTCTAGGATGCTGGAGGTGGGAGTAGAAACTCAGGTTTGGTTTTTCTCTTTAAATTTGACAATAAGTGAAAATACTGCAGTGATTCAGTTTTTTGTTGAGACAACATGGATAATGTGCATGGTCCTAAAAGGAATTACTAGAAGGGAAGTAGAAAGTCAGTCTCAGTCCGTCTGAGGAAAATGTAGCACTAGTTCAGGGTCTGTCAGTTTGAAGTTCCACTTCTGTGTGAGATTATAAAGTAAACTGGAGTGGCAGGAATCAACACATAGATGTTTAAATATGATGATTTGGTTAATTCAAGACCAGCGGAGAAACTGATGCAATATACAATTAGGAACCTGGAGGGCCTTTGTTACTTCTGTTCCTTCATCCCTTTTCTCTTTCCTTGTACTTATCATTCTAGCCATGAAAAATGTCAGATATTTTATTTGAAGACTAATAGGAGTGTGTGCAGATGATGAAACTGAGAACTCATATTTAAACATTCTCAAAGAGTTCTGACTCCACATTCTTAATAGGTTTGGCGTTTATTCGTTGCTGTAGCATAAATGCAAAACACAAATGATTCATCAAATTCTGGCTTTGCGGGAAAGCTTTAGATTAGAAGAAAACACCTAATGTGGACCACATTCTTCTTTCCAGGATAGCATACAACTCAAACCTGAACTACAATTGTGATTGTTTGCAGCTCGCCCGTTGCCTGGGGTGTTATTTTAAGAAAGCAGAAGCAGCATCATTTGCACACTCCTTATAGATACACACGTTGGCCCTGGCTTTCTGGCTTCAGTGTTTCAAAAGTGAAGACAAGATGAAGAAGACTCACTTGCTTCTCTGGGGAGTCCTGGCCGTTTTTGTCAAGGCCATCCTTGTAACCGGTAGGTGTTACTTATACCATAAAGTCAGGTAGAAGGGAAAATAAAGAGCAGACTGGGTCTTGGGTCTAAAGATTTAAGTTTATGCTTTGGCTGGATAGCTGGACAGCTGCCTTCTATCTTATTAGGCGGTGGTCAATGCTCATTGTATTATTTGTTCTTTTTTCTTCTGTTTAGCTACTTCAGTCTATAGCATAAGAAAACAAATATTTTGATGTATATATAGGTAGACACATAAATTTCCATGCTTAACTTTAAAAAAATCAGTAGTTCTCTCCTTGAGTCTCTCTAATTGCTATTCTAGAGAAGTGAAGTAATAACTGTGGTAATTATGATATAGAATATATTTTATCTTCCCAGAGAAATGGAATCAGTTTCATGAACTTTGTTACATCATAACACTTCATACAATTCTGATATTTTGGTTTTTCATCTTTCAGACAACTGTATCAAGGGACATATTTTGAATAGAGAAGTATATTCTTATTTTAAGACAGAAATGTAATTAAGCATAATCACTTTATATTTTAGTAATAACATGAATAATATACTTCAAAAACAATATTTAAAATATACAATAATAGTATCAAAACATATGTATATATAAATACTTGTATTTTCAACCATGTTTATGTATCTTTAAGGATGTCTATATAAAATAGATGTAGTGTATATTAAATAGCTATTCTCCATCTCCTGTTTTTTTGAGACAGGATCTGATCGTGTAGACCAGGATGATCTCAAAGTCCAAATTCCTCTGCCTCTGACTCCTCAGTGCTGGGATTGCAGGTTTGTTTCACTATACCTGGCCAGCTATACCTTATTGAACTATGTATTATGGTATTTTGGTATATGCTAATAGCTTTACCTATAGTATTCCACTTAATTTTTACAATACCCTTTTCTGAAACACTTGGGACTGAGGTGAAATGACTTATTATAAGCTCACAGTACAAGTGATAGGTAGAATTGGGCAATTTGACCTTATAACCCCCATTCTTTTTTTTCTGTAATGTTTTAAGATAATTTATTGCTAATAGAACAGGTGAAGGAAAACTCATATTTTTCCTGATGTGTCTATTTTTTATATTCTGAGAAGATTACAATGCCATCAAAACCTTTCAATAATATTCACTTTTTTCTTTTTTTAAATTTAAATTAGAAACAAGCTTGTTTTACATGTCAATCCCAGTTCTTTCTCTCTCCTCTCCTCCCCTGCCCCCTACCAATCCCCTAATCCATCCCCTTTCTGCTCCCCAGGGAGAGTGAGGCCTTCCATGGGGGAATCTTCAAGTCTGTCATATCATTTGGTGCAGGGCCTACGCCCTCCCCTGTGTGTCTAGGCTGAGAGAGTATCAGTCTATGGGGAATGGGCTCCCAAAGTTCATTTTCATACTAGTGATAAATACTGATCCACTATCAGAGGCCCCATAGATTGCCCAGGCCTCCAAACTGACACCCACATTCAGGGTGTCTGGGTTAGTCCTATGCTGGTTTCTATGGGTTTCTCCAGCCTGGCCTTGGCCCCTTTGCTCATCACTCCTCCCTCTCTGCAACTGGATTCTAGGAGTTTAGTTCGGTGTTTAGCTGTGGGTATTTGCTTCTGCTCCCATCAGCTACTGGATGGAGGCTCTAGGATATAACCTCCATTCTTAATTGCTATCTTGTTTTGTCTGCATAGTAGAGCCACCTTTTAGTGAACCCGCTGAAGTTATATACACAACACAGTGCTATGTAATTCTATTTGTTTGAACTCAATAAAATTTAGTAAATACTTTATTGCACATCTACCATGTCTCAGATGCTTTTAACTAAAATAATTTGTTAGGAAATTGCTTAATTTTAGGGAGAAAATGTTACAGTCTAGGTCTTGGTAAATAAAATCTTTTGAACGTTTTCTGGTAGATATATTAAACTGCTTGGTTAAAAAAACATGAATAGTAATGAGGGTCTCTTATGTTTCTGGAAAGGAAATAAACATGCTTTATAGAGTATGGCTGTTTTCTGGTTAATACTGCCTAATAAAGTAATTTTCTTGACTCTTCATGTATGTTTGATCAGATATTTCATGCTCATGTGTATTTTATTAAGAGAATCATTTAAGAGTTATGGACACAGATGTAAGGAAGTGAAAATACCATTTGAATTATTTTGTTCCTTTTAGAGAATAAGTGCTATATCATTATCTTAAATTGCCCCCTGACATTTCTGGCCCAGCACTATGCAGACTTGTTTCTGATGGTTTATTAATAATTTATGAATACCATACTAATACATTGTTCTTGAAACAATTGCAAATGCAATAAAAATGATCTTAAAATGTTTGAAACAGTTATTATCATTAGGACTGAATCTCAATTAAGTTCTTTTCTGCTTTGGAAGCTAACTTTCAGGGATGATTAGGTCTCCAGATTGAATGATGTCTGCCCTGACCCTTTTAACCTTTATAGTCTGACTGTATGTACTAATTCCTCATGAGTATTTTAGTTGAAACTCAGTGGGAGGAATTTTAAAGTTTGCTTATCTTAAACTATAGGAAAAAGAATATTGAGCATCATCATTATTTAACTAGAATGATTAAAATAACACTATCACTGGCTCTTAAATGATCTGTTGTTGATTCATGAGTTTTCTTTGTTTATTCTTTGCAACATTTATCATCAGATCTCTTTGAGCCACATATCAGAGAATGAATATTCTCAAAGTTAAAGCTGTAATACATACTTGAGCATTTATTCATTTTCTGTCTAATAATATTGTATATTAAATTAAACTCACACCTAACAATTTTTTCTAAATTATTTTTGCAGCAAAACTTTGCAGACAGTATTTTACATTGATATATATGATATAAACTCTCTCCCTTAAAAGTTGTTCTAAGAAATAGTTTTTTTCTTCTAGGAAATATTAATACAGCTCTTATTACTCTTTTTGGTTGAATTTGGGGACTGTGATTATTATTATGAAAAACAATATGGATAGTTTAGGAAAGTTTTGCTGGAGAATATGAAATCTTACAAAATAACAGTTTTGGGAGAAAAGATGCTTATTCCAATACAATTTAAGGGGATCAATTTTTTACAAGAAGAAAAGAGAATTCTGGAATAACTCAGTGTTTTCACTTGGATTAATAAATGCTTCATATTTACTTTCAGCATTTGCTTTTGGTTTAGGAATAGTGTAGATTTCTGTTTTAGCTTTCATATTGGTGGTTATCACTGATTTTTACTAGGTGACATCATTAAAAAATTAGAAGCATTAGATAGAAATCAGAATTCTTTCAGCCTAGCTTTTCATTAATTTTTACAATGAAGAAAAAGAAAACTCCTTTTAGATTGCATTTAGATTTCCTTTGCTCTTTTAGATTAGAAAAGAAAACAAATAGGAAGACTGGGACTGCCGGGTGGTGTTGGCAGACGCCTTTAATCCCAGCACATGGGAGGCAGAGGCGGGCGGATCTCTGTGCGTTTGAGACCAGCCTGGTCTGCAAGAGCGAGTTCCAAGACAGCCTCCAAGCCACAGAGAAACCCTGTCTCCAAAAACCAAAAACCAAAAACCAAAAACCAAAAACCAAACCAAACCAAAACAAACAAACAAACAAAAAAAAACAAAAAAAAAAAAGAAAAAAGAAAAAGAAAAAGAAAAGAAAGACTGGGACTGATGAACAATAAAAATGAATAAACATTAAAGTTTCTATCCAGGGTCACAGTGGCATACACTTGTGCCCTCAGCATGCAGGAGGTGGCAAAGGGAGTTTCAGGACAGCCTGGGCTACATGAGAGTGTCTTATATAATCAGACAAGAGAAAATTCACTTATCTTAAAACACATGTGCATTTTTGGAGAGACAGTATCTCTTTTTGTAATGTAGATTGTTCTTGCAATTTACTAGGTAGTCCAGGCTGGCTTTGAATTTCCTGTCTTCCCTCCTGAATTTTCCAAGCACTGGGATTGTGGGCCTGCAGTAAAACACCTAAGACAACATAGATTTTTGTTTTCTGTTTTCATGATATATTTACCTTTCAAACCCAAGGTGACAATGAAAAGACCATTCTTGCTGACAACAAATGCATGTGTACCCGAGTTACTTCCAGGATTATCCGGTCTACTGAGAATCCTAATGAGGACATTGTGGAGAGAAATATCCGAATTGTGTATGTGACATTCACATTTCTTTCCTCTTATAAGCAGCAGATATTTTGTGTTGTTAAGCTTTCTTTTCTTTTTAAAGGCAATTATGCAAGGTTTTCTGAAACAGCTCCCTGTAGCAAGGAGAGCTCTTGAAAGGGGGTTTCCTTGTTTAAATGTAGTGTCTTCAGCCCACTTTTGATGTGTAGCACCTTTAATGAGATTGAATCATGACTTAACCAAAGTTGAATTTTGTTAATAAGCTTGAAGAAAGTTTACAGAAGTTGGGGACAGAAACAAAGGAAACCAGAGGTTCGTGCTTAGTCACCAACATGCTAGTTTACATGAAGTGATTTCAGTTTGAATCAGAACTTTCAGTTATTCTTAATCATCCTGAACTGCAACTTCAGATAATGGTAAACACTCTACTTTTGTTCCAAATTATTGACTATTGAGTATTTTATATTGTTTTCATAAAGACAGACTAATTAAAACTGATGAATTGACTTTTGACTCATAAATTGAACTTAGAGCTATTCATTTCATTTAACACATAACTCAGACTCATACTTGGTAACTATTAATTAATAGCAAGAATACTAATAATGCTTGAGAAATAAGATTTCTGCTTGATCCAATCAGTGACAAATTTTCCTTTCTAAATATTCCCACCTTAATAGTTTTATCCAATCAGATACCTCTTGTAGGAAAAGAACATAGCAATCAATTTAAATATCAGTGGGGAAAGTATGATGTTTAAAAAATTGTTTCAAAATCTGGCTGCATCAGTTTGTAATTGTGTACCCTCACAGATAATCAAATTATTTGCCTACTCCAAATAAAAATTTTCTCATCTTTAAGTAAAAGAGAAATGAGTCTACTTCATAGGAATATTATTTTAAAAAACTGAGAATATCTATTCTTTTTAAATGTTGTATAGTTCCTGTCACACAGTTAACTATGTGTCTGTTAACATTGTGCCACTGTCCTGATAAAATGCCTTTGGTGCTTTCCCTAGTATTGTTATCATTATTATTACAAATTGTTGTGCCTTCCTACAAAGCTTAGTATAACTCTTAAGATCGTTCACTCTATTTCCTTCCTGTTAAAAACAAACAAATATACCCAGGAACCCTGTAGTGTATCTTCTTTCCCCACATTTAGTGTTCTGTTTTTACATTTTTTACATTCTGTTTTTACATCTACTGGGTCCTCTGTTCAAGAGTTATTTCTGTCACTGCTTTTAGCCTGGTTAAGTCTTCCTCAGTCTGGGTGTCTTAGCCATTGACTCCCATGGGAAGTTTTCAGAAACAGCTCCTTTAGCAGGGAGGGGTCTTAACAGGTATTGCCTGTTAAATGTAGTGTCTTAAATCCACTTTTGATGTATAGAGTCTTTAATGAGATTGAAATATGATCAAATGGAGTTGAATTTTGTTTTTTTTTAAGGGGTGAGCTTGAAATGCAGTCCACACTACCACAAATTATGCAGTTGAATTTCCTGCATTTGGGGGAAATTGCAGGAGTCAGCACATCCGAGTATAATAAAGTTGAATTTTGTTAACAAGCTGAAGCAATTTTACAGAAGTTGAGGGCAGAAGTTTTCACTCAGATCCTGTCCACAGAACTCATTGGAAGTTGCAGATTCACACAGAGACATGCAATTTAAGGGAATTAGTCCATGACATTACACATAAACCATATTGAAGGACCACTTACGTTTGAATCCCCAGGGGGACAATTGTTTCAGTAGGCTTCCATACTTTGCTCTCTCTCTCTCTCTCTCTCTCTCTCTCTCTCTCTCTCTCTCTCTCTCTCTCTCTCTCTCTCTCTCTCTCTCTCTCTTCCTTTCTTTTATTTTACTTTTTATATCTTTTTTATTACATTAAAATTTAGAAACAAGCTTGCTTCACATGTCACTGCTAGATCCCTCTCCCTCCCCTCACCATTCCCTCCAGCCCCCACCCTATTCCCACTCCCTTCTTCATAGGGGATATCTAGAGTCTGTCATTTTGTTCAGGGTAGGGCCTAGGCCCTCCCCCAAGAGTTCAGAGCATCCCTCATTGTGGTGTGGACACCCAAAGTCCATTTGTATGCTAGGGATAAATACTGATCTACTGCCCAGGACCCCATAGATTGTCCAGGCCTCCTCACTGACACCCACATTCAGGGGGTCTGGATCAGTCCCATGCTGGCCTTCCAGCTATCAGTCTGGGGTCCAAGAGCTCCCCTTTGTTCAGGTTTGGTGTTTCTGTGGGTTTCACCAGCCCAGTCTTGACCCCTTTGCTCATCATCCAGTGACTGATGGAAGCAGAAGCAGACACCCAGAGCTAAACATTGAACTGAACCCCTGGAACCCAGTGACAGAGATAGAGGAGTGATGAGCTTCCATGCTTTTCTAATTCATCTTTTATTTGTATTGTTCACTGAAATCAAATAATTTACTTATTTCATGACACTTTGCCTGATGTGTATATATGGTTCCTGATATTTCTCCCCCCAAAAAAGGATATTGCCAGTGCTGTGTCATAATGGCACCATTCCCAAGTCTGTTACTTACTGTAATGGTGTGGCTTTACAGAAGTAATGTGTCTAATTTGAACCTCATTCCTGAGCTGTGAAAAAGGACAATCATGTATAGATATATATGTATTTGGGGCTTAGACTATATTATATGAACTTATAGAAGAACAGTGTTTGACTCACAGTAGACCCTTTTAAATGTTTATTTCTCTGTCATTTAAAATCTTTTCTTGAGTTAATGAGATGGCTCACTGCATATGGGTATTTGCTGCTAAGCCCAATAACTTGGATTTGATCTCCAGGACACTACATGGTGGAAGGAGAGGACTAACTCCTACAAGTTACCCTCTGACCTCCACATGTACTATGGACATCAACACATACATATAAGTAAATAAATGTTAAAAAACCTTTTCTAATATCATAAGAGCCTTTAAACAAAATCAAATCATAGATAAGTTTATTCATTCAAAAATCTTTGTTTAGTGAGTCCCAATGTTGAGGGCTAGTATTGGGAATACAATATAAATTATATAAAGTAGTCCATGTTGAACTGGAAATGGTGACACACTGAAAATAGTCTCAGTATTTGGGACGTGGAGGCAAAAGAATCAGGGATTCAAGGTCATTCTTTGCTACAAAGTGAGTTTGGAGCAAACCTGAGCTATATGAAATACCATCTCAATGCCTAAATAATAAAAACTACACCAAAAATCTCTCTAAATCAAAAGAACAAAATGAAAACACAATAAAGCCTATTCCCAAACAAAAACAGACAACACCCTCAAGAAACCATAAGATAAAACATGTGCCTGGAGGTATTACATGAATATGGTGCACACAGACATATACGCAAACGAAACACCTTTGCACATAAAATAAATGAATAAAAATAATTTATAATTTATGTCTTTAAAAGTATAGATAATGTCTTGTTTGCCTGTTCATTCTACAAGCAATGAACACCTTCTACACACCATACATGTAGCCTAGGAAAATGGCTAGACTATAGACAAGAAACTAATAAAGTATAACAATTATTGTGAAACCTAATTAGCAGTTTACAATTGAGTGAAGTCATGATAAGTACTATTCTAATTAAATAGTAAATACTAATTCCTCAAGACTTTACTATTAGAAACAACAATATTTGTATTTATTGTTTTACTGTTTTCTGTCTCTCTCTTTTTTTTTTAGCGTCCCTCTGAACAACAGGGAGAATATCTCAGATCCCACGTCTCCACTGAGAACGAAATTTGTGTACCATTTGTCTGACCTGTAAGATTTTTGCTTCATACTTACAAATGTTAAAATTAATTACTTTTAATTAATAATGATATTTCTGAAAATACATTGGGACATAAACATTGACAAATATCTGACATTTTGAATACACTGATCCTATGCTAATTATTAGGTACCAAAACTTCATAAAACTTGGTCATAGGAAAATAGTAGCAATAACTTTATTCCAAAGAAGAAATTATTGTTATTTGTACAGAAGGGGCTGATTTATCTCCACATTTAAATAAGTAGCTTTAGGTTTTAGCATTCATGTGTTTCTTTGCAGATGATAGAATCCAATGTTAACAGTTTTTAACAAAGTTTCTCACTGGGCATGGTGGCATGTGCCTTTAATCCTAGCACTAGCACTCGGGAGGCAGAGGCAGGCAGATCTCTGAGTTCAAGGGCAGCCTGGTCTACAGAGTTGAGTTCAGGACAGCCAGGACTACACAGAGTTAAAAAGCCAAACCAAAAACCCCCTCCAAAACCCCCAAAAATTTCTTCAAGGGGATGTTCAGGGACAGGAGGATTAATGATTCTAGGCCAGCATTAGCAATATAGTGAGTCACTGTTCTCTCTAAATATATCTGTATGTACATGTATAACTACATATATATATATGTATGACAAGAGGAATATGTATATGTATATATGTATGTATACATATATTCCTCTTGTCACTAAAACTGAGTTAATTTAAACAAGCACATAGTTAGGGATAAACTAACAGTGGAAGCTGCTGGATAGTATAGGTAAGATGATCGTATCATATCGTTAATTATATTGCTTACTTTCAAGTACTTTTTGTTCATGAAAGATTAAAGAATGTTATAAAGTATTCTTTGTTGCGCAGACGATTAGGTCTGGAAAGACTCATTGTTTATTGTAGGTTAGTGCTGCAAGAACTAACAGACATTAGATAAACCTTTGCAGTGACTTGTTTATTGAGATAACATTTACTGGGGGATTTCTACTGCATGGTTTTTTTTCAGCTGTAAGAAATGCGATCCTGTGGAAGTGGAGCTGGATGACCACATCGTTACCGCCAGCCAGAGCACTATCTGCAGTGAAGACAGTGTTGTTCCGGAGACCTGCTATATGTATAACAGAAATAAGTGCTACACAGCTATGGTCCCACTTACTTATCGTGGTGAGACCAAAATGGTGCCATCAGCCCTGACCCCTGATTCTTGCTATCCTGACTAGTTTGAGTCATTCTCAAAACTATGCAATTCTCTCTTTAGGTTTAAGGGCTCTCCATTTAAACCCAGAAGTTATACTCACTGCTCATGAATTTGAAACCAGGATCTTTTTTTTTGCCTTTTGGATGGTATAAAACTAACATTCCCTTTAAATAGTTAAAATATCAAACATTGCTGTCATTATTATGTAATTCTTTCTCAATTCTCAGTATTAAATCCTCATGTCTGCCTGAGGAGGTATTTTCAAGAGTTCCTTTCCTAGAGCTTAAAAATGTAAACAAGGGGAGAAAGTAAAATTCCAGGAGTAAAAATCAAGGACTAATTAAGTTAAACCCTTTTTCTTTCCTACTTTGCTGTGGAGAGCTGGAGCTTCTGCACATTCTGTGCTATTCTCTTTCTTAATGTCTCACTGTGCAGAGGAAACATACACATAACACAGGCAGTTACATATCTTCACTACACGTGGAAAAGGACACATTTTGAAACTATTTACTAATACTTGCAAAACAAGTTTGCTGAAAGTGGTATTGAAAAATGTATTTTGACATAACATATAGACTTGGCACTAGATTTTTTTTTGATAAAATTTTTGACAATCAGGTTATTGTCTGAAGTTCTTAGAGGAATCTATTGTGTTGTAGCTGAAGCTAATGAAATTTGTATTCCTAAATATGTATTCTCTAGCACAGTTTGAACAATTAAATAGATTCATAAGCATATCCCTGTGTGAAATAATTTGTTGGAAAAATTTTGCTTGTGTTTAACCTTCTTATATGCAACTTAAATATAATTTACTCTTGGCAAACATTTTGTAAGTATGATGTAATGGTGCATTCATCATTAAGATTCATCATTAAGTTTATATGAGTACATACGCGAGGAACCTTTGTCATTTCACACTTAACATTAAGTACAAAGGCGGGTCCATAGCGCAGAGCATGCTATGGAAGCAGGAGGTGTACTGAGGTGCAAGAGAGTTTGCTTATCATGTTTAAGGCCTTGAGATTGATGCCCAGCACTGCCAACAGAACGCACGCCTTTAGTCATCCCAGCACTCGGAGGCAGAGGCAGGAGGACCTCTGTGAGTTCCAGACCAGTCTACAAGAGCTAATTCCAGGACAGCCTCCAAAGCCACAGAGAAACCCTGTCTAGAACCCCCCCAAAGACCCCAAAACAAACCAAGTAAAACAAAGTAAAACTACAAAAAACAAAGAAATTTATTCAGCTTTATCCATGTAGAAAGCCCTCATGTAAATGGTAGGGCTATTTCTTTTTTTTCAATTTATTAAAAATATTATTTTATTTTTACTTACATGTATACATGTGTTGTCATGTACATGTGTTTGCAAGCAGGTGCTCCCAGAGTGTGGAAGAGGGCATCAACTCGCTAGGAGCTGGAATTATAGGCAGTAATGACCCCCTGTCATGGATACTGGGACCCGAACTCAGGCCATATGTGCTTTTAACACTGACCACCTCAGCCGGGCATTGGTGGCGCACGCCTTTAATCCCAGCACTCGGGAGGCAGAGGCAGGCAGATCTCTGTGAGTTCGAGGCCAGGCTGGACCGACAGCCTCCAAAACAGAGAAACCCTGTCTCGTAAAACCAAAAAGAAAAAAAAAAAAAACACTGACCACCTCTCCAGCCCTGGATCCATCATTTATATGCACTCCTGTCTGTGTATCGAGTGTTGCAATTTTCTTTTCTATTTTAGTCTTCATAGAATATTTTTATTTGTACTCTCAAGTTTCAAATCAATATATATTGATTTTATATGTAATAATATATTTCATTATAACATTTTTTAAAATTTAAATTTAAATTAGAAACAAGGTTGCTTCACATGTCAATCCCAGGTCCCTCTCCTTTTCCCTCCCCTCCTCCCACGCTTTCCTACCAACCCCCCAACACCTCCTCATTTCCCAGGGAGGGTGAGGCCCTCCATGGGGTGTCCATAGTCTGTCATTCCATCCAGGGCAGAGCCTAGACCCTCCCCCGAGAGTTCAGGGTGAGAGTGCATCTCTCATTGTGGGATGGGCACTCAAAGTGATAGGGCTATTTCTAAGTAATAACTGGTCACATACAAAGAAACCTATGGTGGAAATCCATAACCAATTGATGTATTTTTCTAAGGGCACTATGGGAAGTAACTCTTGACTCACAAGCCTATGTGTAGATACTTCTGACTTGGGAACAGTGGGGTGGATTTTTCCAGGTCTTGGTTATATGGCAGTTGTGTATATTAGTCTAGTAGGCAACTTTAACCATCCAAGTTGAAATACAAATTCTTAAGTGGCCCAATTAACACCAGACAATTAAATTTAAGATAATTTCTTCTTTTAAATATGGAATTACAAATAACTATCCCATAGATTTTTTGTAAGAGTGACCATACATCCTATATATGTATGTGTGTTTATATGCCATTTAGTATAGCTGCCATAGTACTTAGCACTGGTCCATACATTTCGGTTGTTACTGTGTGTAAATTTTATTTTGGCTCATCTTTTTGCCAAGGTAACAAACTAGTGAATAACACAGATATGTGTTGTGGTTCTTAACTTCAGAGTGCATGAGAATAACATGGAGGACTCAGGAAAGGAGTTACTAAGTTGCTCCTTCCAATAGATGTTGATTAAGTAGTTTTAGGGTGCAGAAGCTTTTACAAATTTTCAAGTTATGCTGCTGTGGGCGACCGTGCAACCATAGCATTAGAATTATGAGCCTCTACTCCCACCTAGTGGTCAGATTACAAAGTACAATGACTATGAGTTTTTTTTTAAATCATTTTTTAAAAATTTTAAATAGCTTGTTTTACGTGTCAATCCCAGTTCCCTCTCCCTCCCCTCCTCCCGCACTCCCCTTCCTCCTACCCTCCCACCCTATTGCCAAATCCTTCCACATAGGGGATATCTAGAGTCTGTCATTTTACTCTGGGTAGGGTCCAGGCACTCCCCTAAGAGTCCAGGCTGAGAGAGCATCCCTCTTTGTGCTATAGGCACACGAAGACTGTTTGTATATCAGGGATAGACACTGATCCACAGCTTAGGGCCCCATAGGTTGCCCAGGCCTTCTCGCTGACACTCACATTTGGGGGGGTCCAGATCAGTCCCATGCTGGCCTCCCCACTGTCAGTCTGGGGTCCAAGAGCTCTCCCCTGTTCAGATCAGCTGTCTCTGCTGGTTTTGCCAGCCCATTCTTTGCCAATTTGCTCATCACTCCTTTCTCTCTGTCACTGGGTTTCTTGGGTTCAGTTCAGTGATTAATTGTGTGTTTGCCTCTGCTTCCATCAGTCACAGGATGAAGGCTCCCGGATGGTTATAGACATCAAGTTCATTATCAGGAATGGGCATTCGAGGTGGTCTCTCCACTATTGCTTAGCTTGCCAATTGGTGTTATCCCTTTAGATCACTCGAGGTTGCTCTGGTGCCTGATCTGTATTCAATCCTATGATTCCCTCTTCCCCCTATTCTACCCCCACCCCCTCAACTTCCTTTTCCCCCATGACCAACTCTCTTCCTCTTCACCCCCTCTCTTCTTCCCAGGTCCCACTCCCCCCCACCCCTCACCGTGTTCCCCATCCATTCAGGGGATCTTGTCTCCATCCTCTTCTCTTGGGTACTATGCATATATGCGTATCTTTTAGGTTCTTTCCTGTTTCCCAGACTCTCTATCAGTGGAAGTGCAAACTGGCACTATCCTGATCCATGTCTAAAATCCATATATGAGTGAGTACATACCATGTTTGTCTTTTTGCGACTGGGTTACCTCACTCAGGATGGTTTCTTCCAGTGCTATCCATTTCCTTGCGAATTTCAAGATTCCATTGTTTTTTTCTGCTGAGTAATGCTCCATTGTGTAAATGTACCACATTTTCTCTATCCACTCTTCAGTTGAGGGGCATCTAGGTTGCTTCCAGGTTCTGGCTATTACAAATAATGCTGCTATGAACATAGTGGAGCAGATGCCCTTGTCGTATGAACTTGCCTCATTTGGATATATGCCTAAGAGTGGAATTGCTGGGTCTAGTGGTATATTAATTCCCATTTTCCTGAGGAATCTCCATACTGATTTCCAAAGAGGCTGTATGAGTCGGCATTCCCACCAGCAGTGGAGGAGTGTTCCTCTCTCTCCACATCCTCTCCAGCATAAATTGTCTTCGGTGTTTTTGATTTTAGCCATTCTGACAGGAGTAAGATGGTATCTCAGAGTTGTTTTGATTTGCATTTCCCTGATGGCTAAGGATGTTGAGCCCTTTCTTAAGAGTATCTTGGCCATTCTAGCCTCCTCTACTGAGAATTCTCTATTTAGCTCTGTACCCCACCTTTTAATTGGATCCTTTGGTGTTTTGGAGACTTGTTCTTGAGTTCTTTGTAAATTTTGGAGATTAGCCCTCTGTCAGATGTAGGGTTAGTGAATATCTTTTCTCATTCTGTGGCCTGCCTTTTTGTCTTTTTGACTGTGTCCTTTGCCTTACAGAAGCTTTTTAGTTTCAGAAGGTCCCATTTGTTAATTGTCGATCTCAGTGCCTGTGCCACTGGTGTTATGTTTAGGAAGTGGTCTCCTGTACCAACTCGTTGAAGAGTATCTCCCACTTTCTCTTCTAAAAGTTTCAGTGTGGCTGGATTTATGTTGAGATCTTTGATCCATTTGGACTTAAGTTTTGTACAAGGCGATAAACATGGATCTATCTGCAGTCTTCTGCATACCAGTACCCAGTTATGCCAGCACCATTTGTTGAAGATGCTTTCTTTTTTCCATTGTACAGTTTTAGCTTCTTTGTCAAAAATCAAGTGTTCATAGGTGTGTGGGTTAAAATTAGAGCTTTCGATTCGGTTCCATTGGTCTACCTGCCTATTTTTGTGTGTGGGTTAAAATTAGAGCTTTCGATTTGGTTCCATTGGTCTACCTGCCTATTTTTGTGCCAATACCAAGCTGTTTTCAGGACTATAGCTCTATAATAGAGCTTGAAGTCAGGTATGGTGATGCCTCCTGAAGTTCCTTTATTGTATAGGGATGTTTTAGATATCCTGGGCCTTTTGTTTTTCCATATAGCACATCTAAAGTTTTTGACAATTATATTTATTTATTATGTGTCCATGAAAACAAGAATATATCCATATACATTTGTGCACGTGTATATCACTTTAGGATAGCTGTTGTAGTAAATAACACTATGACTGCCCCAATACCTCACCGCTATGGACTGTACCCCCCAAGCCATGAACCAGTTTCTTTCCTTACGTTTCTGTGATGATGCTCTTGACAGACACCAGGCCTTCCCTGACATGATGGACTGTGCCTTCAAACTGAACCAAATAAACTGCTTTTTTCAGAGCACCAGAAAGTAAGAGATACAGAAACATTGGTACCGAGTCATGAGAGTGTGGCTGTGATAAACCTGATCATATGGTTCAGAGGCCTTTGGAACTGATATGCGGGAGAAATGTGGGGGAGTTTGGAGATACGGGCTAGAGAAGCCTTGAATGCTACAAACTGAGCGTAATAGATTATTTTGGGGAGAGTTCAAAAGGTTAGACTGCCAAGAGAAATGTGGACAGTATGTGCCTCTCATGAGCTTTCAGAAGGAAAAGCCCCTGTTGAGAACTAGCATAGAGGCTGTTCATGCTACATTCTAGAATACAGTGTGTCTACATTCTCCCAGTGCCCTGGAAATTTGAGTGAGATTGAATTAAGAAATAATAGACTAAGTTGGTTGATAGAGGAAATTTCTAGACACCATAGCATTCAGGTTTACAGTGAGCAGGAATATTTAGTGGAGCAGAAGATGAAAAATGTGCATTTTGGCGAGGAAAGTAGTGTGAGAAAGTTCATAAAGTTGTCAACAGAGAGCAAAGAAAGAAGCTGTAATTGTTAAAGAGTTAGCACAACTAAAGGACGACCTCATATTTTGCACTGGGACAATAGGAAAGGTATCTTGATAGCATGACCATGCTCATCAAAAGCTTTATCCTGTGAAATGTAAACTCGTTTGAAAGGACGCAGCTTAAATCTAGGATGCTGTTGAAGGACTGTCTTGAAAACAAACGCCTAGGTTCAGCTTCCAAGGTACACAGAGGCCACTATAACTATAAGAGAAGGGAGCCAAACTACATCTTGAGCTGGCCTCAGAACATGGCAGCATTGTCTGTATGCATCTGGATCTGCAGACTGAACAAAATGCATGAACTACAGAGTCATGGAGGCACAGGGTTTTGAAAAGCTGATGTGTGGCAGGGTTAGATTCGCTGCAAGGAGAATCCTGGAAGCCTTTTCCTTGACTCTTACTTAGAAACTGTGATGATGGCACCTAAGTAGAAATGGGGACCTCAGGATGTTGAAGATGCCAGGGTCGTGGGAAGCTGAGTGCACAGAGTGGAGTCAGCTTTAGAGATATTACATGTACTGGGGATTGCAGAGCTGTAGGAGTGGCACAGCCAAACACTGCCGAAGCCCAGATGGTGCCACCCAAACCCCAGGTGCTAGACATGCAGCTGTAGGCTTTGGAGTTTGCCTTTCTGTGGTTTGTTCTTGCTGTGTTCAGTCTTTTCTTGCTGTGCCTCCATCCCTCACCTTTGGAACAAGAGTGTTTATTCTGTGCCTTTGCCTGTTGGAAGCATTTGACTTGTTTTTTGATTTTTGGCACAGTTAAAAGATCATTTTGTGGGTCTGGAGAGGTGGCTCAGTTGTTAAGAGTGCATTATTACTCTCGAAGAGGATCTGAATTTTATTCCCAGCTCACATGCCAGGTGGTTCACAACTGCCTGCAACTCCAGGGGATCCGATGTCTCTGTCCTCTGCAGGTACTCAGCACACACATACCACATCCTTACACACTCACACAAATGTGTGTGTGTACACACACACACACACACACACAGACAGACACTTAATGGTAGTGTCATCCATTGACCTGCAGTTTTCATGGTATCACTCTTCTTTATAGCTGAATAATATTCCATTGTGTATGTGTAGCACATTTCCATTATCCACCTGTCGAAGGACACTCAGGTTGTTTTCACTTTCTGGCTATTGTGAGTGGGGTGGCAATGAACATGGCTGAGCAAGTGTCTGTGGAGTAGGATCCCCAGCCTTTTGGGCATTTGACAAGGAGAGGTATAGCTGGGCCATATGGTAAATTGATTTTTTAGGGTTTTTTCTTTTCCTTCCCTCCTTTTCTTTTTCTTTCCTTTTCTTTCTCTCTTTCTCCCTCTCTCATTCCTTTCCTTTCCCTTTATTTTCTTCCTTCTCTTTCTTGATTCTCTATGCTGATTTCCAGAGTTACATTCCCACCAACAGTAAATGCGGGTCCATCACTCTTTACAGTCTTGCCAGCATTTGTGATCAGTTGTTTTGTTGCTCTTAGCTATTCTGACTGGGATAAGATGATATCTCAAAGTTCTTCTATTTTCATTTCTAAGGATAATGAGCATCCTTTGAGGTATTTCTTAGCTATTTTTTAGTTCTTCCATTGAGAATTCTCTGTACAGATCCCTAGGCCATTTTTAAACTGGGTCTTTTTTTCTGTTTTTTTTTTCCTTGTTGTGTGCTGGCTAGTTCTATGTCAACTCGACACAAACTATAGTTATCTGAAAGGAGGGGACCTCAATTGAGAAAATGTTTCCATAAGATAAGGCTATAAATTATTTTCTTAATTGGTGATTGATGGGGTGGGTCCAACCCATTGTGGGTGGTACCATTCCTTGGGTTGGCGGACCTGGGGTGTATAAGAAAGCAGGTGAGCAAACCATAAGGAACAAGTTTAGTTAGTAACACCTCTCCACGGCCTCTGCATCAGCCCCTCCCTCCAGGTTTCCTGTATTCCTTGAGTTCTTGTCCACACTGCTTTTGATGATGAACTGTTACATGAAACTGTGAGTGAAATAAACCCTTTCATCCCCAAGTTGCTTTTAGTCAGGGTGCTTCATTACAGTAATAATAACCATTACTAAGACAAACTGGTACCAGAAGTGGGGTATTGTTGTGACAGACCTGACTGTGTTGCTTTGGGAGAGGATTGTGGAAAGACTTTGGAACTTTGGAACATTGAGTATTGAGAGTTCAGGAGCTGTTCTGTGGGACCTTGAAAGATAAGAGTGTTGAGAGCAGTGCAGAAGATACATCTTTTTTCCAATATTCCATAACTAATATATATTTACTATACACCATTTTGTATGCTGATCAGTAACTGAACACTTACTTATTTTGTTTTGGAAATTATGCATTCCTGTGCACGTACGAAAGTATTTAAAGAGAAGGTGATGTTTGCAAAGAATTTACTTTGCCCAGTATAATTGCTCTTAGGGATACATAAACGAATGACAACTAATTTACTTTCTAGCAATTTTCCTATAGGCAAAACTAACAGGAAAAGGGTTGCAACAATATATTACAATATGGTTAAAGGTAAGAGATGAGATGTACTGTGAGCCATAAGGGAAGATGGAGACATGGGTTGGGATAGTCTTGGAATAGATGTTAACTGAATAGGATTTACATACTTGGAGAGTAAGAATCTTCTAGAATTATGTAAGCCAGAGAAAGAGCAAGGAACAGTAGGGAAATGTAAGAATCCTGCACCACCTTGTTCATGCTACCAGGTGTCAGGGGATGGGGGGCAGGGTAGGGATGACATGAGGCACAGAGGGTCTTGACTGGGGAGGTGAGGTAGGGCTTATTGGACACAGCTTTATTTATTTAGCATTGCTCTCTGTGTCAGATTACAGCTGAGAGTGTCCTCTACTTCTTTTAAGGGCTCCTCTTCTGCTAGCTTAGCTTTTGCTTGTTACCAGCTGATTTGTGTTTCTAAATTGAATGGACTCTATGTTCAAAGAGAGAGCAAAAGGTTATTACTGAATAGGGTGAGGCAGAGAGGCAGGGAGGGACAGGTGGATAAAACCAAATATATCCTCTGGTGAAATGTTGATTGTTTTCCATCAGGTTCAGTTTCTTTTGAGGGTGCAGTTGGCTGTTGGCCTGAGTCACAGTGAAACCTTTTAGGTTTTACAAAGTAGAAACAGACTTGTCTTTTTAAAATCTAACATTTTTGGTTCCCCTTTTGGCTCTTAGAAATGACTTTTAGCTTCATGAGTACAAGATGAATATTTTGAAGGTGGTAATTAAAACTGGCTTAAATAGGACAAGAGGAACAAATAGGAATGCCTCAATAAGCAGTAAAAGTTACTAAAAATTCTCTTTAAAGATTTATTAAGTGACTGGGTGTGTTGGCACACACCTTTAATCATAGTGCTCCAGAGGCAGAAGCATGTGGATCTCTGTAAATTCAAGGCCAGCTTAATCTCCCAAACTACAGACAGTTACAGGACAGCCAGGGCTATTACACAGAGAAACCCTGTCTTGAAAAATCAACCAAACTAAACCAAACCCAAAAAATGTTTTAAATTTGTAGCTCTGGTTTGAATGGCCAAATTTAAATGTACTGTTTACATCTTTAGATGCTCCAGATACTTCATGGCAATGCCTGCCAGACTGAATTCTCAGAAGGCCAGATGGACCCTGAACCTCATTATTCTGCTTCTCCTTCTATAAATTAAAGAGCCAAAGGTTTCTCCAGAGAACTGCACTGTGCCTCCAGAGCTGATGAGACAGAAGGTGTGCATCTTTTGTCTCTGTAACCTTAAGGTTTGGTTTTACTCTGTATTATTTATCTTATAAGGACATCCTAGGTTATACCAAGCTATGTTAGTATCAGCAAATATGACTGTTAGCTATGTCATCCACTGCAGAAGTGGGCAGCAGTAGCAGGATGGAGTTGCTAGAGGTAAGCGGTGTGTTGTTATCAGAACCTTTAGTATGTGCCCCTTACTTTAGACATCAAAAGCTTTATGAATGACTAAAGCAGGACACAGAGTGAGCAATACATTTAATGCAAGGAACTCATGCCTACTAGGCGGGCTTGTAGAAGTAGCCCTGTGCTCATAGAAACAGATATCATTATCTACAGGAACATTTTCATTCTTTTTATTATGTTCTTAAGTTTAATAGATTTGTTTTTGGTCAAACTGCTTTTTACACTTTACATTACAGATGAGAGTAGCAATATCTCACACATAGATGTGTCAACATATTTATTGTGACAAAAAGGCCAAAACCAAAGAGAAAAAAATGTGAACACCACTCCCACTACCACAAAGCAATAAAAAATTAAATTTAATTTACAAACTCTTAAAAAGGTCAAAAAACAAGGTCCCCTAAAGAGCAAATTTACTCCCTTGGTAGCACTCAGGCCATCACCGCTTAGAGTCAGACTTACAACTCCTTTTATCAGCCCCATTCCTAATAGTCCCTGGCACCTCACCCCAAGGAGGCAAACAATGTTATATTGAATTGACTACCTCAAGATCTCAGTGAGCCACCACCACCATCTCTATTCTGTTCAGAGGCAATCTGACATGAATGGCTCAGGGGGCAGCTCAGGTGATTTCTCTCAATTCTCATACAAGAACCACATCATTCCCTTTTATAGGTGGGACTCTGCCTACGAGACTTTGCCCACAGTGTCTCTGTCCACAGTGTCTGTTCTTTACTAGAACTTTAGTATCAGTTCTTGTTTGGTAAATACGCCTACCGCTGTGCCTTGGGCTCATCATTTTTGGCATGACAATATTTACTGAAACAACTGGACTACTCATTCATTTCGGTGGAATATAACGTGAACATTTTGTAGTGAAGGTATTCACATTGAAGTTTGGGGAAAATAGTGGTTTTTAATATATGGCTAAAGTATAAAGCTGCTGGATTGGGGAGGAACTTAAGTCTTCAGTCTGCAGCGGTCCAGTGCAAGTGTTACTGAACACAAGGCTAGAAACATGGTGCTTTATTCAGTATCCTCACGTATCTCCACAGGAAGAGCCGGTGGCGGTGTGAATGTGTAAAGGCATCCAGAAGCCAGTCAACATTTATTGGAATCTCCTATTGGTAAGACATTATACTAGATCCAAGGGCCAACTTCTTTTTCTCAGGAGGGTTTCACCAAATTTCTGAAGTCATACAAAATCTGTCATGGGAAAATTTCTCTAAGAAACTCCTTAGGAATAGAAAGTAATTTTTTAGGTAATTCAGAGATTTTTTTTACCCCCAGACTCAAAACAGGCTATATCCAGATAACAGGCCAAAATGCCTTTAATAGCAGTAAAAATAATATCAATAAAACTCAAATATATTCTAAGTAAGACAATATAGAAACATCTACTTTACAAAATAATTTACACTATTTAGTTATGATACCTGGAAGTTGTGTCTGTGAATAATCTACAAGGACACAAAGCAGAAGCATGATAGTCATAATATTTGGTGGTAACAATAATTTATATTGAACTAGTGAAAACTAAACATTGAGTCTCTTATCTGCACAAGGTAGTTTTTCTGCAGATCCTGGCCTTAGCTTTTTTTTTCTTTTTCTTCTTGATACTCAGCCCTGGAGTGACAACTTCTCTTCTTCTTTTCCCACTTTCCTAAGCCCTATGATCTGGTAACTGGCCTGTCTTCCATTCTCCTAGAATGTGCTCTTCTAACGAAGCTGTCTACTTGGAGAGGTCAGGAAAGAATTGGCAACAAAAGTAGCTACTTCAGGGGTATCATCTATGGTGATGTTTTGGCTGAGAAAAAAAATAGAGAGTGGAAATTACAGAGTAGATTCAAAGAGTGAAGGTGATGTATAGTCTTAAAGCAAGAAATGGCATATAAACTAGGAAAAAATTTTAAGAAGAAAAAGGACTCAGAGAGAAAAGATTAATTGGCAACAGATCAAAATTATACACTAGGAGACAGAACAGACAGACAGACTACCAAAGATAGCTACCTCATGTGAGAAGTGGTGAGGGGAGAATGTTGAGGAAATACTGACAGCTCTATCGAGAAGGAAGAAGAAAGAGAAGATTGAAGGGGAAAGAAGGAGGCAAGTAATGAAGCCAAAGAACAGCAGAAGACAAAAGTGACAAAGCTAATATTAACTAGGAAATGCTATAAACAAAAGCAGCCCAAAGGAAAAAGCATACAGTACTTCAGGAAGATTCTAGTGTGCAGGCCTCTGTATAAAATGGAACGCTCAACAGTCTGCTAGATGTGCAAAACCAGACAACATTGTAAGGAATTTGAGAGAAAGAGGATAAATTAGCAAGAAAGAGGTAACTAACTGAGACAATCAGACAAAAAGCTTCCAAGTTTCAAGGCAGGAATGGTCATGGCCTTCATGCTTTTTCTTACGTGTGCACTAATTTGTTGCAGTGCTGGATCCAGCCAGCCCCAAAGGCCCACTCTAACTCTACCTGGGCCTCTATTTCTACTGTTGGGAGGGTAATCATCAAGGTCAGATAATCAAGTCTCAGGGAGCAAAGTTACAGAATCATTGACATAGGATTACTAGTTGTTGTCATGCCCCAAGAATGCTCAGTTGAAGTTATCCCTAAGCCTGAAGCAGTAAGCAGCCTTGTGCTTGGTCCTCTTGGCTGGTTCCTTGGAAAGCTTCAAATGTAGTGTGTTTGTCTGCATTCAGTTGGTCTACATTTATACTTTTAAATTGTTCCCCAGTAGCTAACCCAACTGAAGTGTTAGGATTTTCAGTAGGTATAGAGAGAGCACCATTAAGTAGGCTTTGTCTTCCATTATTAGTCGGAGGTCCAGTGCTTGAAGAGTCAAACTTTGCTAATTTGGAGCCAAAACATGGTAGTTTAAGAATGGTAGGTGGTCTTTGCTGCTGCATCTCACCCTCATTTCCTTGGACTTTGTTTTGTATGCTGTCGGGAACAGAGCCTTTCTCAGGGACATCAATAATGAGCTTCTCAGGAGTAAGGTCAGCAGTCCTTTCACTGAGCTGGCTGCCTTCAAAAAATTGCTTCAGAACATCCTTCCGATCTCCTCCAAGGTCACTTTTAGGACAGGGCTTATTTTTTGGCTGAGGAGAGCTAGCTTCAGGAAAGGCCATAATTCCTGTATCCAGTTGATTCTCTCCAGAATATGGCGTGTTCCTCCTCAGAGCAGGTACACCGTCTCCAAAAGGGCTTGGGTTTGGACTTTCTGCAGTTAGTTTATTCTCTGAGATGTTTCTTTGACTAGATAGGATGCTTGTTGGGGAGACATTAGGTCTTGCATACTTGGCATAACTACCTTCTGTATACATAGGACTGGTTTCTTTGTTCTCCCTTGGTGCAAGACCATAGGATGAAGTGTAGTCTTGTAGAGCCAGCACGTTTTCTTTATGTCCTGTGGAGCCACCAATACAGCAGGAACCCCTCTGACTTTGGTGAAATAAGTGTGCTTCATTTTGGCCTGATGGGTAACTTTGAGGAATGAAATCTGGGAAAGCCAACTGTTCTCTCTCTGGTGGACTTAAACTAGTAACTGGTAAATCATAGTTCAAATTGTCATCTTCAAGCCATGTTGGATCTTTTGGAGGTCCAGCGGGGGAGTTAGTGGAATAAAGATGGTTCCTCTTCTGGTTTGGTATTTTAGATTTGTGTAAATTTGTTGACTGACCCCAGACATTTCCATTGATATATGGTTCACTTTCTTTCTGTCTCTGTGCTTGATTCCCGTAGTCCCAGGAGGTCCATGAAGGAAAGAGAGCGCTTTCTTCTTGTCCTATGGCATTGTTAATATAATAATTTACGGGGTCCACAGGTGGCGCTATAGTAGGACCTGGAGTATATATTGGAAAGTTTTCATTTGGGTTCCAGGGATAGAAGTCACTGTAAGGAAAAAGTTCCTTATGTGGATTACCTAAGGAATAGGGAAGATAGTCCTTGGGTACAGTTGAGGCATATTTTTCACCTTCATACTGCCGAACTGTTGGGCTTCCTTTGAAGCTCAGCTCTTCATCACCCCATTTACTTTGTCCTGGAAAAGTTTCATCTTCATTTGGATCAATTGGATCCTCTTCATTATACTGCTCTGTCTCCTTCTGATCTAGAGAATTCATGGGGTACTGTGGATTTTCTGGTTGCCCCATAGTACTGGGAGAGCGAACTCTCTCATTCCATGTATTGCTTGTAATGTATGGTGAGTTTTCATTAGGATTAAAAAGATTGTTATAGTCATCGTAAAAAATATTTCCTCTAGAGCCATAGGAAGGATAAGGTAAAATTTCTTTCTGCCTCCCTCGATTTTCCTTTAGGGGTGGGGAGATTTCTTGGTGATTCCAGGAGTTTCTTTCAGCAGGGAAATGTTCTCTTTTAGGAGAAGGGATTTCCTTAGGGTAGGCAGGTTGGTGTGTACTATGCTTTAGTTCAGGCTTCTTAGTTTCTGATTCAAATGGGGTTCTTCTTGGCTCTAAAGCAATTCCTTTGGGCCGATTCTGGTTTTGAATTTGTATTTTGGGACTTGACACTCTTCTGGAATCTTGTGAGAAGAAGGAGTTTTCTTGTTGATCAAAAGAATTAAAATTTGGGTTTACCCTGCTACCCTCAGGGTGAGGCAAATTATAATTTGGTTTGTTAATTCCATATTGTTGAGAACTTCTCCAGGGGCTGGCTGTATCTTTTGTAGGAGTGACTGTTCTTTCTTTTTGACCTAGTGACTTTTCCTTTGGATTTTGAGTTTTTACGTTGTGGCTCTCAGTAACCTGTTTAGGACCCACTGAGGCCACAGGGTATTTATTTGAGGCAGCATTGTTTCTCACAGATGGTTTATTTGAGGCCACAGTTGTTCTCACAAATGGTTTATTTGAGGCTGCATTGGTTCCTATAGATGGTTTATTTGCGGCCGGATTGGTTCCCATGTAGGGTTTATTTGAGGCCTGATTAATTCCCACAAAGGGTTTATTTGAGGCCGGATTGATTCCCATGAAGGGTTTATTTAAGGCCTGATTGGTTCCCACAAAGGGTTTATTTGGGCCTGGATTGATTCCCATGAAGGGTTTATTTGAGGCCGGATTGGTTCCCATGAAGGGTTTATTTAAGCCTTGATTGGTTCCCATAAAGGGTTTCTTTGGAGCAGGGTTGATTCCCACGAAGGGTTTATTTGAGGCCGGATTGGTTCCCACGAAGGGTTTATTTGAGGCCGGATTGGTTCCCACAAAGGGTTTATTTGGCCCAGACGATTTTCTTCCAAAATTTACTGGATTTCCTGCAGAGTTGGGATAATTGACTCTTGAAGTAGGAGGGGAAGGTTTGCGGTAAGTTGGATTTCCTGGACGAGTAGTTTGTTTGCCGTCCCAATCAAAGGAATTCCACTGAGGACCCCTTTGTACTTGTGGATTTTGGTAGCCAGGTCCGTTCTGTCTGGGCTCCATGGTACCGGGGGTTTGCCATTGTTTTTCTGAAGGATAGTTTCGCATATTTGGATAAGGATAATTTTCGTAAATATTTGGCTGACTTGGTCTCCACGGAATTTGGTTTCTCGATACTCCTTGGCCTGAGACATTTACTTTAGGGAGAGGGAAGACACCGTTTTGAACTGTAGGGTTGTTCCCAGCATTCGGCCCAGAGCCCCTGGTCCCTACTGGAGTAGTGTCATTTCCTCCTTGATTCCCTCCAGGAATTGACTGAGTGGAGTTAGCCTCTGGCACAGTTGAGTTAGTGGCAGCCTCTGGAGGTGGTTCGTCTGGGGGTGGGTCCTCTGGTTTAGGAGGATCTTTTTCTTTGGGTTTCTCATAATCTTCAAACATCTCTTCCGAATAATAAGGACGGCCACCAAAGCCATGATATCCATAATATGCATAATAAGGATTCTGTAAAAAGAAAAGCAGAAAAGGAGAATCATTCTCTGTTTCCTCCCATGGTGTTGCTTGGAATTGCTTAGTGTAACAGGGAAATCTCCCACACAGGCTTCTCTTACAACTACAGCCTACGCTTTCCTGCTAGAGGGTTGACGCCTGCATTCTGCCCTCTGGGTGCTGAGTGTTCTCTCTAGCCTCTAGGCCCAGATCCTAAACCTTAGGGTTAAAACACTCTTGATCTAGGATCTCACTGTCTTACTCTTCCTCATGCGCTGACCTTGTGAAAACCCTCGAGCTTGAGCCACCTGAGTGCTGTGACACATGAGTCACCATGTGCAGGTTAACTTTATTTTTCACAAAATTGTATTTAGTTATTAGTTTTTGAGGCAGCGTTTTGTCATACAGGCTGGCCTGTAACTTGCTATGTAGATCAGTCTAGCTTTAAACTGGCTGTGATCCCCCTGCCTTAGCCTTCAGAGTGTTAGGATTACAGGTAGGACATCATGATTTGCAGTGTCTACTTTTTCCATCCTTCTCCTCCTCATTTCTGTGTTCTCATTTTACACACCTATGTTGTTGAGGAATCTGTTGTATGCCAGAACTTTGAATATGGAACTCAGAAAGGAAAAGCCTGTCCCCCAGTTCTCTAAGGTCCAGTCAGTAAGGTTCCAGACTGTTCCAACTGAATGTACTCATAAGTAGGATCATCTCCCCACAGAGGTCATTCTCAAAGTTGTACATCTAAGGAACATTTACTACTCTCAAATCCAGTTACCCTGGTTTCTTCTTTCTCTTTCACTTCCCCAGAAAATTAATTACCAAGTCCAAACATTGCATCTAAATTTTCATCCTTGTCCTGTTTTCCTTTACCTATTACTCCCAAACTCTTGTAGCTTTCTTACTGGTGACTGTATGTATAACCTTACTTACTCCCCTCTCAGATTGTCCTCTGTTAGTGCCATCAGAGTAGGAGAAACTAGGGATGGGTTTCTGAGAATGACAACATTTAAAGGAATACCTCTTTAAATTTGTGCTTAGAGCTACCTTTTCCTCAGTTACCTTTACTGGCAGTCTCCTTTTTACCACTTTCAGTGCCATGACTATTGACTAGGTTTACTTTGTTCACTTGTAATATGGAGATACTAATAATAGAATAGAAGAAACTACACAGTTTGTCATGAAAGTCAAATGATAATATATGCATATATTATAAACATCTTCATAGATGGAACTTTGTGTCTAGTAAATGCTACATATTATAATAAAATGTTAAAATTTTGTAATCACCAAAAAAAATATAGAAAAAAGCTGGGCGGTGGTGGCGCATGGCTTTAATCCCAGCACTCGGGAGGCAGAGGCAGGCGGATCGCTGTGAGTTCGAGGCTGGGCTGGACCGACAGCCTCGAAAACAATACAGAGAAACCCTGTCTCATAAAAAACCAAAAAAAATTTGTAATCATCTGAGCCATGACCATGACATTAACTTTATTCCTCTTCCGTAAACTTGATGTGGCTGCAAATTACAGCTACTGTTATTTCTCTGAGTGTTTGCACATGACTTCTTCCTATCTAACCTTTTCTCACCTACACACTCATCCTTACCAGCACACTTGATTTATTCTTGGAGACTCAGCTTGAGTACTACAGTGTGTTCTGATGTCCCTTAGCAGAGTTAGCCTTATGATTCACTCCTGGGAATGTACAGCAATATAGCCTTCTGTTGTAATCATCATTACAGTGAATTTTAGTTGCTTATTTTTTGGGGTCATCCCACTTGATTTCTCTATGTGAAGAGTTTGAGTAAAAATACTGTTTTTTGATATTCTCTAGAACAGTGGAGAATGCTTAATAATTTTCAATGAAATGAATTACCTATGTGATTTTTTAAGACATTTATGTTTCATTTAGCTTACTTTTTCCCTCTTGTACTGGTGATTAAACCCATGGTTTTAGGAATGGTAGTTAAGTATTCTACTACTGAGCTATATCCCCAGACTTTGTTTTTCTTTAAAAATCAAATAGAGGAGAAAATAGTTTTATTCTCATTTGGGATAGAGATGATGAAATAGATAGGCAAGAAAATATTTTTAGTATCACACAAGGAATTGATCAGTGTTGCTGAGATGCAGATTACAGATATAGTGCCAGTATTAATGCCTGGATTATTCTGTTTTACTTGATAATGTTATTTACAAAAATCTGAATTTCTAGTTCCTAGGTGAAGTTGTATACAGTGATCTAAATCACTCTTATTGGGTTATTTTGTAGTGATTTGTTTTGATTTTTCAAGACAGGGTTTCTCTATGTAGCTTTGGAGTTGTCCTGGAACAACACTTTCTGTAGACCAGGCTGACCTAGAACTCAGAGAGTTCTGCCTGCCTCTGTCTCCCAAGTGCTGGGATTAAATGCATGCGCCACCACTGCCTGACTTTATGGTGATTTTTTAAAAAAAAGCATCCTGTGTTATCACTTAAACCATAATTTCACCACCATTGTTTTAATAGCACCTTTTCCTTTCTTCTGCAGCAAAGGCATTGGTTTCTGCTTTTACTGAGTGCATAGCACATATTTAGGGGAAAAAAACTAGGAAAGTCTAGGGATGGACTCACAACCACTAAATAGTTTATTTGATGACATAGTCTTGATAGCATACTAAGAATTGGTTGGGTTTATTTTTATTACTTTCTTGGAATATACTAAAAATATATATTATCAGAAGACTTAGGTTTGTTCCAGTTTATCCTGTAACCTAAGAGGAAAAATTGAATAGTAACTAATTCTCTGGATTTCAGTATTTGTACAATGAGATATTTAGATGATAATGCAATTTCATGTGAAGGGAATAGTCTAAGATTATCTTAATTTCTCTCTGTGTGTTCTACTGTCTAGAGTTCACCAATCAACTTTGCAAAGAAGCTAACAATTTTCATAGCAAATATGGTGAGCAATCTTTTAATACATGTAGGATATGATGCACCATTTAAGTGGTGCTGGGTTTAGAAGCAAGACCATGCATCTGTCTCCTGTGCTCAGACTATAGGCATTCACTGCTATGACCAACAATGTATCAAATTTATTTAGATTGCTGGCTTGATTTTTATTTCACTTTAAAAAAATCTTAGGAACTTGAGTTAAAGAAGGTTTTTCATGATAAATTTTAAGTGCTCAAGACACTGGATTAAATGATAGTAACTGATACATTGTAAATTCTAACTGGGGTGATAGTATCACTCCTACTTACTCCTTCTTCATTGCTGAATTTTGGACGTCCAAATGCTGGTGGTGGTCCCCTCTGAAATCACAATGAACACAGGAAAAATTACATCCTTTTCCTTTGTTTTTAAAGACAGGTCTTGCTTTATAGCACATACATTGCTGTATATGCATACATTATGTAGCTGGGCTGGCTTTGAATTCATGGCAGCCTCAGCCTTCTGAGCACTGGGATTACAGATGTGCACTAATAGGCTTGGCTAGAAGTGTGTGTGTGTGTGTGTGTGTGTGTGTGTGTGTGTGTGTGATGTACATGTGTGTGGAGGCCAGAGGTTGATGTCAAATATCTTTATCTTTCTCCTTCACCTTATTTTTTGAGATAGGATCTCTCACTGAACCTGGAGCTAACTGGTTGGCTAGAGTAGTTGAGCCAGCAAACCCTGGGTTTCTCCAGTCTTCTCTTCCCAGTACTGGGGATAACAGGTGTACATACAACGTTTTTCCAATGTGAGTGCTGGCTATCTCTACTTGAGTCTTTATGTTTATACAGCAAACACTACCCATTGACCTCTCTCTTCAGCCCTGGAAACCACTTTCTATGATGGCATTTGTAAGACTGGAGGTGTATTAAATTGGTTTATTACTAATGACGTGCTAGTGCTGTGAACTTTGTGTTCTTGAAGCATTAGAATCTCTATCTACCTATTGGTACTTATGATCCACTAGTGAGTAACATTTATATAAGGCTTCAGCAGGATCCTAGAAATAAACCCACACAGATACAAACACCTGATTTTCCACAAAGGTGTCAAAAACATACATTGGAAAAGAAGACAACATCTTTAACAAATGGCGTTGGTAAAACTGTATATCCACCTGTAAAAGATTTAAACTAAATCCGTATCTCTCACCTTACACCAAAAGCAACTCAAAATGGACCAAAAACTTAAGTATAAGACCTGTAGCTTTGAAACTAATAAAGGAAGACTGAGGTAAAACACTTTAGTATGGTAGGCATAGGTAAGATTTTTCTGATAGACTCCTTTAGCATAGTAAAGTCTCCTAAGAATTGACAAAAAAGGAGGATAACATAACATTAAAGAGTTTCTACAAGGATCCAATCAGAGTAAGGAGACAGTCTGCAGAGTGGGAAGGAATCATTGCCAACTATATTTAGGTGGTAAATATCTAGACTATAGAAAGAATTGCAAAAACTGAACCTCAAAAGAAATAATAAATGATCTAATGAAGTGAAGACACAGTTATCAAAAGAAGAAATGCAAATGGCCAATGAACATTTGATAAGGTATTGGATGCTTTTAACTATCAGAGAATTACAAATTAAAATTAATTTATGATTCTATCTCAACACAGTCTGAATGGTTATCATTCCAGCAAATAAATGTTAAGAAATGCTGTCAAGGAAGTGTGGAAAGAGGAACCCTAGAAACTTCGGTGGTGGTATAGAGTGACAGCCATTGTGGATATTAGTGTGGAAGTTACAACACTAAAACAGAACAATCTGTTTGACCCAGCTGTACCATTTCTGGACTTACACGTGAAAGACTTAAGTCAGCACACCACAGGGATACTTGAACATCTGTGTTTGTAAGCTGCATTATTCATAATGACTAACAAGTGGAACCTGCCTAAATATTCATTAACAGATGAATGGGTAAAGAAAATGTACATTTACACAAGGAATTTCAGTTAGTAATAAATGAAATAATGACATTTTCAGGAAACAGATGTAACTGGATATCATTATGTTAAGCAAACTAAGTCGGACTTTAATAGAAAAATGCTGTTTTAATTGTGGACTCTAGATTGTTTGTGTGTATGATGTGTGCTTATGTGTGTGTTTGCACAGCTCAGTAAAGTAGAAGGACCATGAGAGGGGATGAAGAGATCTTGTAGGACGCAAGAGGGAGAGGGAGAAAAGAGAGTAATGGAATATGCCTGTCATGAAAGCAAAAGCAAAAACTTTTGGGAGCAGGTAGGGGACCATCAAGAGAGGAGCCAGAAAGGAGAGGAAGCAGTGGGTGAGGACAAATAAGAAAATGTGAACGACATGTGTGTGTGTGTGAGTGCTACTATGAGGGGGCTCAGTTGGTAAAGCACTTTCCATGTAAGCCTGAGTTCACATTCCCAGTATCTTCCCCCCCCCAAAAAAAGCTGGGTGTGGTGCTCTGCATTTCTAATTCTAGGGTTGGGGAGGCAGAGGTGGGCAGATCATGGGAACTGGTTGCCAGCCAGCTAGCCAAAGACACAAGGTCCAGATCCATAAGAGACTCTACCTCTAAGATAAGGTAGAGAGTGACTGAGGAAGACAGTGTCCATCAGCCTCTGTCCTCCACACTGGCACATGGACATAGACATCCACACACATGTACACACACCTACACAGACAAAGACACAGACATGAAGTCCAGACTCCGTAAGAAACTCTACCTCTAAGATAAGGCAGAGAGTGATTGAGGAAGACAGTGACCATCAGCCTCTGTCTTCCACATACATGTGTAGACACATACATCCACACATATGTGCACACACCTACACAGACACAAACAGACAGTGCCACAATGGAACCATTGTTTCATATACTAATATCAAAAGTTAAAAAAGAGTACATTAAATTAAAAAATATAAAATCTCAGGAATAGTTACAAAGTAGCAATGTTTTGAAAAGCAGATTTGTTTCTCTTCAAGAGGTTGATGTAGATGAGATTAATAGTCATTTTAATATGAAAATCATGTTGCTTTTAAACAATTTACCTGGGACTGCCTATGTTTCCTTATTTAAGTGTGGCTAATAAAAAATGCAACCCTTTAAGGAAAAAAAAAACAAAGTAAGGAGTGAATTGACCTTCTTGGTCAGAGAATTGTAAGCAAGAAAATCCTGTTTCATAGCCAAATAAATAGTCATTGAATGCTTCTTGATGCTTAGCTGTTTTTAATATCTTGCCTTTACTCAGCAGTTTTCAGCCTGTGGGTCACGACCTCTTGAGGTATGTGTGGGGCTCAAATGACCCTTTCACGGGGTCACCTAAGACCATCAGAAATCATAGATATTGACATTACAATTCATAACAGTAGAAAACTACAGTTATGAAGAAGAGCAAAAATGGCTTTATGGTTGGGGTCACCACAACATGAGGAACTGTATTAAAGGGTTGCAGCACCAGGGAGGTTGAGAGTCATTTACTGCCTCTACTATTATTTTAGTTCAAAAAGCTAAATATATGTTTAATGATATTAATTTTAAACTTTAAGAACTCACTGAGAATTCAGTATTTTGCAAAATTATTTTAAATAACATATCTCTTGCTAGAAAAAAGATATGAAGAGATCATAATATAATAATGGCTTGCTTCTTAGTTTTAAACTCTGTCTTGTGTTAGTTTTGCTATTAAATTATGATTTTCATTAAAGATATTATGATCTCTTATGTGAGAGGATTATAGCACAACCATTTAAAATTAATTTGTTAACTTAAGTTATTAGATCCCTGGGATGCCTGCCTTTTTCTGGATAGAAATGGATGAGGGATGGATGGGGGCAGAGGTGAGGTGTGGGGCACGCTGAGAAGAGGTGGGAGGAAAAACTGTGGCCAGGATGTAAAATAAATAAATACATTTATTAAAAAATTATGTTAGTAGTAGTGATTTAGGACCTGTTCATTTTGCCAACTGGTCTGAAAATTTTACTTAATTTAAAAAAAATAATTTTTTCTGAATGGCTACTAACTTGGTTTTGTTTCATATTCTTTACTGACAGGTATAATACAGTATATGAACTTGTACTAGTCTTACATGTCACCTACTAATATATAGAAAATTCTCACCTGTGGAATTGGCCATGGTGGTTGTTGATAGGGGTAAAGCCCATTGCCAAATGGTGGGAATGGCTAGAAAGAAAGACAAGTTAGAATTATTTGGTAGTGATATTGAAAATGAGAAATGAAAGAGATTGATAATTATTGAAAAGTGGAGACTGCTTGTATTTTTGTTTATATTAAATCTCTATTTCCTACTCTTTTTCTCCTCCTCCTACCTCCCTCATTCCCTCCCCTCTTGCATATTTTGGGTGTAGATGATGGTAATAGTCAGTATAATTAAACACTGTACTCAAGCAGTAGTAGATTCTGGAACTCCTTTAGATCTCGCATGACTACATATTATTGTTATTCCCACTGAGAAGCTGAACTGAGGTTCAGAGAAGTTAGTTGCCCCAAAAGGCAGAGGTGTGACTGAAACCAGTATTCAAATCCAGGGGTGTCCTTTTGTTCCCTTTTGTTTTCCCTGTATATATAACTGTTTGTGATAATAAATAACCAAAAGCTGTCATTTCTTCATTTCTGAAGTTCTGTACAGGGGGAGCTCTAAGAAACCATGTAAATGTATTCTTGTCTCATATCATGAATACACTTGAGTCATCTGGCAGTACTGAAAGTAGTGGTGTGTTCAGAAGAATATTACGTGTCATCACAGCATAGGTCTGGAAATGCTCCAGAAGCCGTTTGATTTGCTTATGGAGAAACAAGTCTAGAAAGCCGAGGAGACTTCCTCAACATTGTATGACCAATGAAGGCTGCGGTAGAACTCGACCTTTCTTTCCTGACTCGTCTGCTAGTGGTCATGAGACTCTGAATTATATTTTATTTTTTCTTTTAATTTTAAAGATTTTTCTCACCACATAGCCAAGTGGCCTTTTAGTCATGATTCCACCCCAGCCTTCAGATTACTGGAATCATAGGCATGTCCCACAATTTACAGATTGATTCTGTGTTTTAAAAGGATTTTTTATGGCAACAATATTTGTGTAATTTTGAACTAAATAATACTGTCAGGCAACTTCTGATAAATATCAAAATTAACTGTCATATTCTTTCACAATAATACTTGTACTAGATTTTGGAGGAAGTATGGATGCTGGAAATGTTTGGACCTTAAATGTCCTTTAAGGCATTTTTAAGCCTCTGACATAGAAGTTTTCTAGTCAAGCCTCACCTGAGGTGGCTGGGCTTCGTCTTTGGCCCGTGCTGCTTCATTTGGTGGTTCCTTTGAAGGCTGCCTTTGTGGTTGTGGCTCTTGTGGATTTGTCTGGTTGGGTTTGGCGGTCTCCTGGGTTTGATCAGTCTTGCTTGGGAAATTGGGCATTGGAGGTTGATTCCATCCATTGGGTACGGGCTGAGGCCACATGGGCATATGGTATGGAGGGTATGGTGGAGGCATGTGTGGAGGCATGTGTGGAGGCATTTGCAAACCATTTCCATATGGACCCATATGCATCATCTGAAAGAGTAGCAAAGACAATAGTGTGGATGAGAGCCGAGGTCCAGACTCTTCTCACCTTCTAACCGTAAGCTTCCAAAACCAAGTCAAGAAGCTTAAAAATACAATGGAATTTGATTGTAAGATCTCTAGTGAAAACGTTATCACATTTGTGTTACTGGAAGTGACTTCAATTTTTTGAAAGCCTGTCAAACTAATAGAAAAGCAGACTTCAATAAGAATTTCAGTTTAAGAGCTTGATAGTCTGGAGAATAGCTTAGTGGGCAAACTGCTTGCCACATGAATGTGGAACCTGAGTTTGTATCACTGGAAACCATGCATGTAAAGTTGGGCGTAGTAGTATGATTCTACAGTCCCAGTGCGTCTATGGTGAGATGGAATATGGAGACAATAGAGTTCCTAGAAACTTATGGTTCACCTAGTCTGATGTGCAGCGCAAACAACAAAGAGAAACATTGTCTCAAAGGTGGAGGGCAAAGACTGAAGCCTTAAATTGTTCTCTGACCTTTATACACATGTACACGCATTGTATACACACACCCACACTCACTCACACACACACCCACTCACTTACACACACACCCACTCATTCACTCACACACACGTACATAGAGACAGACAGACAGACAGAGAGAGCAAGCATGAGAATTTTATGTTTTTCTAACTGTACATATTTTTATGGAAAGTTATGTCAAATTCAAAACCCATGTGACTTGCTATATACAAGGCCATGCAGAGAGAGAAAATAAAATAAAACAAAACAATCAAAACTCAAATGATATTCTAAAACCAACCAACCAACAAACACACAAAACCCTCAAAACAGATGCAGGATTTTGCACTGGTGAAAATGTCAACTCATAGACACCAAAACAACACAAAAAGTTGGGCCAACCGGAAGGTTAGGAGAAGAACATTGATTATGATGACTTTAGGTAAAAACTTTACAGGACAATTACTGAACAGAGAGGACTGAAACAAAATTGATGAAGTCTGTAACAATGCCATAAAAGTACAAAGTGACTCACGCTTTTGAGCGGTCACACAATTTTGTTTAGTTTGTTCTAAGATTTAGCATATACACTAGGCCATGGTGGTACATGCCTTTAATCTTAGCACTCAAGAGTCAGAGGCAGACAGATCTTTGAGTTCCAGCTGGGCCTACACAGAGAAACCCTGTCTCAAAAAACAAAGCAAAATAAAGAATCAGCATACAGTTCCACCGCAAGAATAACCCATGTTCACTCCAGCAAAATAAAAATAAAACAAATTTCACAATTTTAGTATTGTTTAAGAGTACAGGAATAGGATTGTTTCTTCTAGTAGTATTTGCTATACTACTTTGGTTGTCATTACTATGGAAATAGTTCCTGTAAACTCTGGCAGCACTAAGTGTAAAGAATGTTTATCATTAGTAGATAATGTTTTTTATAGATAAAACTCAATAAAAATGAATAAGGAGGCAAGTGAAATGATTTGTTGTAATGGTTGTCTTGTAACTAAGACACATGGATGGTGATTAGCATTGCTATAAGTTAAGACAAACATGACGCCAATTCTGGATATAGACAGGAAAAAAGTCTCAAAAGTAATATAAAGAACAACTTACAGGTGGGCCATTCATAAAGTTGAATTGATTATATCGCATCATCTGAAATGAAAGGATTCCATTAATGTGGCACAGAATGAAAAGCTTTTATTCAATCAGCTCCCAAAGCATAAGAAATGAGTTTAGGCTCCAAAGGCCCAATAGTTATAATCTCTTTTGTGAATTCTATGCATTTAAAATTTGTATTTATTAAAAAAACTCTGGAGTATATAAAATTTATATATGTATATACAGTTTAAAAAAATCTAAACATCTAATGTGCATGGGTTTTTGCCTGCTTATGTGTCTGTGTGTCACTGAGAGTGTCTGGTGCCCATAGGGCCCAGAGGAGGGTGTTGGACTCCCTGGCACTGGGGTTACAGGTTACAATTAATGCGGGTGCTGGGAATCAAGTCTCTATTCTCTGGAACAATATCAGTACTCTCAAATACTGAGCCATCTCTCCAGCCCCATATGACAGTTTTGCATATGTGTTCTGTGCGCATATGGAAGCCAACCTGCTGATAATGTTCCTCAGACAGCTTCATTGATGTCTGGGACTTCCTGATTTGGGTAGGCTGGCCAGCCAGTGAGCTCCAGAATCCCCCCATTTCCACTTCCCAATTCTGGGATTGCAAGTGAGTGTCACCAAATTCTACTTTTTACCAGGGCTCTGGGGATCAAACTCAGGTTCTCATGCTTGCACAACAAGCTCTTTACCACACGAGCCACCTCCCCAGCCCCTGAGCTCCTGAACTTGAAGTCAGACTTCATACTGATTTAATATAGATGAACAGAAAGTAAACATAACCTTTCCTTTTGAAGATTTTGAATGGTCTGTTTATCTGGAGTTGAGGATTTGAGAGCAAGATAATTCCATGGAAAAGAGAGCTGTTTTCCTGGGTGTGGTGCTATGCACCTCTAATCCCAGCACGTTTAGAGGCAGGCAGATCTATGTGATTTAGAGGCTAGCCTGGTCTACATAGCGAGTTTCATGTTTCATGACAGCCAGGGCTCCATAATTGAGAGATTCTGTCTCAAAAAAATAAAGCCCAACAAAAAACCCAAACAAGCAAACCTGCAAAGTTTCCTGTTTCTATTAAACATGGAATTTGATTAATGATAATGAGTTTGAATTATGTTAAAGGTAGACGTAAGTATTTACTTTCTAATACTCCCAGGTACGAATGGGAATAATTTTGCTTAAATTTGAATGTAAGATTTTCAATTTTCCCTCCCTTTGTCTCTTCATAAGAAAATTTATATTCTAAGAAAAAGTATCAATAATCTGTTTTTCATGGACTTCTAGATAGGGCTCTGGCACACATCTCCTCCAGTACAGAGTGGAATACATACCTCTTCACTTTTACTGCTAAATCCAGGCATTCGGGGCATAGGCATCTGGAACTGAGGGAGAAATACAGAGCCTTAGCTGAAGTGACCTGCCAGGTGTCCCTCGAGTAGTGCAGCAACAGAATACAAAGAAAAGGTCCAACGTAAAAAGGAAACACTTACAGGCATGGCAGCAGAGGTACCAAGCAGACCCAGCAAAAACATGAAAATCCCCATTTTTATATTTGGTACCTAGGATAGAAAACTGAATATTATTTTGGGACAGAAAAATGATTTGAGTACTCTACAGTTAGTTAGGGACTAGCTTATGGGCACTCTATGTTAGTTAGGAACTAGCTTATGGGCACTCTATAGTTAGGAACTAGCTTATGGGCACTCTATAGTTAAGGATTAGTTTATGGGCACTCTACAGTTAGTTAGGGACGAGCTTCTTTACTTGTCTATCAAGGAGAGTTCAGAAATATAAAGGGATTCTACCATAATTTTATGCTAATTAGGAGATATTAATTACCAAAGTCATAGTAAAAAGGAAAGGTGTGTGTGTGTGTGTGTGTGTGTATGTGTGTGTGTTAGGGGAAGAGTGGTATAAGTATTTATGAATCTGAGTGTCTCCCTGCCAAGTTGGTTTAGAAGGGCATAGTAAGGTCCAACCATACCCATTGTACATATCCTTGGTTTCAATGAATGTACACTTCAAAATTTAGGACTTGGAAGTTTTCTAAGATACTGTACCCAACATTTCATTATATAGAAATATTAACATTCTGGTTAAATAAATTGTAGAATTTCACAGTGTTATTTTTCCTCTGTATTTCTATTATTGTTATGACTTGACTTTTAAGGATGCACTTTTGTTCAAGGGCTTGTCATGAAAAAATAAGAATGAAGAGACAGAAATGTGCATTTTGTCTCTTCCTTAGAGAAGTAACTCTCTGAAGCTACAATATGCAGTGTAAGTTTCAAAGCCACAAGGAAGTGAAAAGAGAGTGGGTAGAGGATCACCTTTCTCAAAGTCTATCAGGTTGTGGATCAAGGCTTTTGGGAAGCTTTGGGTGTTCTCATTCAGTTACCAATGTAATCTTTATAGTAGAGTCACAGTGACTCTAGATTGTACACTCATGTAGGGAGACATCTTATTTTCTTTTGTGGGCATATAATGTCACTTGTTTTCTATTTTGTTAAACTAACAAATTATGTTGGGTATCTTTTAATGTCCCTTCTAGCTCTGAAAGAATGTAACTGAATAATAGTTGCCCCTTATTTTTGACTAGAAACTAATACTCAGTGGATGCTTTCAAGTGCAACCACTGTAAATCTTTACATTTGCCACACCGCTTTACATGTTTAAGTGAGGTTTTATCTTCTCAAGAGCACTCGATAACCTTATAGTTTAAAAGAGCAGATAATAGAAAAGTAGTGGATACTCACCAAGTTACATGGCTTTGGAAGAGCAACTGGATTTCTGCACTGAAGCAGCAACATGTTCTCACCAAAATTTTCATAAGCCTTTTGGGAAAAATAAAGAGTTTTGTGTGAGAAGAAGTTCAATTTTGGAAACACAGCAAATAAATGAATAGCAAAGCGTCACCTCCAGGGCAGCCCATGGCATGTTAATCATTTTATCCAACCATACCCTTATTAGAGGGTCCTCAAAATCGAGCTTAATCTTCGGTGCTTTAAGATTAGGATGAGAGCTAAATCAGAGAGAAAATGAGATAGGCATCGTAATTTGAGATACTTCTAGTGCATCGTTGACAAAACTTCTTTATGGGAAAATGTACAAAGGTACAGTGTTAAAGGAAGAAAACCTATAAGAGAAAGAAACATCTGATAAACCAAGGAGTTGAAGCTTTTATCAAAAGATTAGTTTACAAAAGTGATTTAGAAACATCACGAATACAGTAGGAAAGTTAACAAACATCCATAAATAAGGTCATTATTTGGCACTATACAATATGTTGATAATGTTTGATACTCACCCAATGCCACCAAGAAGCTGCACTATATAAAAAGTAAACTTGAACTTTGTTAACCTTTCTTTGAAATATGTTCTTACTAGTCTATGGTGGAAATGACTACAAACTGCTGAAGCCAGAGAAAGCCATGGAGCAAGACACATTTATTTCTTAATAATAAAACAAAAATTCTTCAAGAAGGTGTCATGTTCAGTACCCAAAAGACTTAACATAAAAGATCCCTCCTTGTCAGGAGGCTTGATAGCAGGATCACATTTAAGCACTGTTGTAGACATGCACAACCAATCAGCTTTGAGGAAAATGGTTTTGCCATCACAAGAGTTTAAAGTAAAAAAAATTGAGTGCAAAATTTATACTATGTTATTATAGGAGCTGTGGAATGAAGTCTCTTATTATCTATAATAACAGCTCAGAAAAACAAGCTTACAGCAGTAAGATTTAGAAGGCGCTTTCCTTGTGAATTTGGGCTTTGAAGTATAGAGACTTCATTTATACAAATATATTTTGGGAACAAAAGTGACTATTAACTATATGTTACTGACATAAACCACTGGCCACCTTCAAAAGGTGGAATGATATAGATATAGTTGATATATGGTTAATATGTAATTAAACTGGAATGTTTTATCTATGATCAACTTATTATTTGGTGTGTATTATATAAAATCCTAGAGTCTATTTCCTTTTAAAACTCAGATGTAGCTTAGTTGTTGGGGATTTAGGATTTTAGGGGAGCTGGCCAGAATGGCAAGTAGCTCTCAGATGTTTATGATGATATAACTTTGGAAAAACTGTAGTTGAGAAATTTACTTAGTGTGGTTGTTTGTTGGTTTTTCTGCAACTTGACTTTTCATGATAAAGACTTCACTTCTAAATAAATCCGATTGTGCTTCTTCCCAACAAAAGTGAGATTTGCATTATTAGTTGATCTGGGGTGCTCTGGTCCTTTAATGTCTTCCTGAGGGAACATGTTTGTCATGGTGTGCTTGCTTAGTTTACTGATAGCATTTAAAAACTGAGAAGGACTGAATTTGCTGCCTAAAGCAGTCTCCTGCTTTTTACTCCTGTGTCTCTTCTTGGGCTACACAACACTGAAGTTTTCAGAGACCCTATTTCCAAAGTTTAGTGCTACAGAGAATAAGATGGTGTTAGAATAATAGTCATTAGGTAAGATAGAAATGTTTTTTAATCTGTGTATATGTAAGACTTGCAAGGGTATAGCTGTCTGATTCAAGTGTCTAGCTGCTGTTGTCTGATTCTGTAGCTGATGAGTAGCAAGTGTAACAATGTGTTTACATTGATATGAATTTGCAAGGGGTGGTCACTTAGGGGCAGAGAGGATGGAGTGTGACAGCCCTGAGATATGCTTGTGCTTTCCAGAGTCTGAACACTCTGCTTTGGCCTTAGCAGATAGGTTACTGGAGTTGGTACCACACTTCAGTTTTGATTGCTTTCTCAGTTTGCCTTATTTCCCTCCAGTCTTTGAAGATGTGTTCTGTTTCAGAAGGGGAAGGGCTCTTTATACACAAATGTGTGTATTCTGAACCCAGAAAGAGAAGCCTTGGCTTATAGAATGCATTGGTTAGTAGATGTTGCCACTAAATTACCACTGTTGGCTTTGTTTACTTTAGTTCTCCATGTTACAATGTTGGGTATTGATCATGGAAATCTATGGTTATATTGGGGGAATGAACTCTTAGTAGAACTAGTTCAGATTATGAAAAATAACTTAAACTCTTTTTTCTTCAATAATACCCCCCAAAACCCCTAAAGATATTTTATCAAATGTGTTGGAGCCAGGCTGTGACTTTTTTCCATTTATTCCATTCATTACTTCTTATTTTATAATTCTTTTCTCTCCAAACAATAATAACTGCCTGTGAACATGTTTTATAATGTTGCTTAAAATTTTCATGTGTATCTGTTTCTTTTTGTTATTCAGGATTCTATTCTCATTCAAAAATGAGGCTTCTTAATCTGGGACCAGAATTTGTGCATTCGTGTTTAAATTCGAGCCCTCTCCCTGCAACACATACTTTTTTCTTTGCCTCTTTTCAGATTATAGGCTTGTTTGTTTGAGGTAGGGTCTCACTCTGTATCCCTGGAACTCAGTCTGCAGAGCAGACTGATCTCAAGCTCACAAAGACCTACCTATCTCTGCACCCTGAGTGCTGACATTAAAGTTCATGTCACCATGTTCCATTGACCTAGGTTTTAAGCTACTTGGTTTCTTACTTTGTGATATGGTAAAAACACTAGGTTTTAAGTTATTGGACTGAAGTTTAAACTTATTATTACAAAGTATCTAACTGTCTGATTTTCTGTTAAGATGGGGGTAATACTAAATGGCTCCTAAGTTGCTTTCCAAGACTAAATGAAACAATATACAATGCAATTAGTACTCAGTGACTGACTTGGCAATATGTCAAAGCACTTTTGTGGGTGTGTGTTACTTTTCAATGATTTACTAATGACTTAGGAGTATTATAGTTACAGTTTTCAAGTAAATCCTTTCCAGAGTTCAGCTATCAAGTTGAGTGTCTGTGGCTTGTTTTTTATAGGTAGAGTATGTAGGATCACTAAATGAAGCCTGTTGTACTCCATGATGGTGTCAAATACTGTTTCTGCATCTATCATATTGTTTTCTCTCTGAAGCTATCCAGATCTCCCTAAGTGTGAAAACACCCTTATAAAAGGAAGAAGAGGAAGAGGAGGAAGAGGAAGAAGAAAGGATGGTTTTTCCTAGATCTCTCACAGATCGAGTGGTGAGTAGTGCTCTTTGTCACAAGTTATTATGAACATCTACACGCATGAACATCTACATGCAAACCCTGGCTTAGGTGCCCACAATTATTCACTTGGAAATTTACTTGGTAGTAGGTTCAAATTCTGACTTCTATAATTTGCATGTTTTAAAGTCTTAGTCCACTGATTTAATCCTTTTAAGCCTCAGTTTTCTCACTTGTAAAACAAGGGATGTTACATTTTAGTAGTTTTCATGAGAATTTGAAATAATATTTGAACATCTAGTTTAAATATAATATGTAAATAAATGTTACTTTATTACTAATATTTTTACTATTGGTTTTTCAGTAGTTGCTTTATTATTAATCACTGACATATTTCTAAATATTTTTGAGTAATATTTCTCCTTACTATGATTACTTATTTGTCAAAACAAAACAACATCTGGGCATGACAGTGCTGATCTCTTATTCAGCACTAAGGGGAAGAATGTAGGAGGAATATCATGAGTTTGAAGCCAAATATGGCTAGACAGTGAGGTTCTGTATCAACAAACAAGCCAACAAAGGAAACAAGCAAATAAACAAATAGAATAAACTACCACTACCACCATCACAACAAGAAACCTCTAAAAGGACAGCCAAGGATCCATGCAGCATTTCAGATTTTGTCCTATTTAAATTCAGCATTTGGTTCACAAGGAGGAACATGACCTAGGGAAACCAGGACTAACTGCTGGAAGGCAGTTATTTATTTGGACCGCCCTCAAAGGTAGTAGTTACTTTGTGGAGCTCTGAGCAATCAGTTCTCTTATGTATATATATTCACAATCAGCTTTAAGAAGATCAGTGTGTTTGCCATATTCTCTGTCTGACCAAGGTTGCAGACTTGGGATTGGATGTACTGAGTGTCAAAAGCAGAACTTGAGTCAGCAAGCATCCCCCATGGGGTGGTTATTTCTTTACTTCCTAACAGTTCATGAGTGATTGTGATGCCATCTGATTATGGAAGTAATATGCTTGATCACTTTTCTATACTTTTGCTGTAGCTTATTTTTTCATTTGCTATAAAAATCTGGACCTCTATGTGTTTCCCATTCACACCAATTGTTAGGATGATAGAACTGTATCTGATGCTTTTTTTTTCAGGTTATTTTTTTAATTTTATTTTCCAGTTTAGATTTAGATAAGAATCAAGGTTGCTTCACAAGTCAGTTCCAGGTCCCTCTCCCATTCCCTCCCTTCCTCCCGTGTCCTCCCCCCCCCCCCGTTATCCCCTTGTATCTGATGCTTTAATGAACAGTGGATACAGGACACATGAGTTAAATTAGTAAAGCTTTAAGATATCTCTTAAGAAAAAGAATGGAAACTATGTAAGAAACTAAATACATGTTTTATTAATACACACTTTTATTTTGAATATATATTTTGATAAAAGAGCTATAGCAAATTTTAAGGAGGTGACAAGTAGTACAGATACTATAAAATGTGGAAAAACACTTTTTCCAAAGTCAGGAGGCACCTCTGTAACGTCATGTGATCTGAACACGTCAACCTCATTTCCTCTTTACTCACGTGTTTTCTAGTGTCAGCTTGCTGCGTCTTTGGCTTCCATGCCAACTGAATAGGTATTCAGAATTGGGAAGAAGGATCATTGCTGCTGGAGCCTTGCAGTGTTAGAACTGTATACTGAAGGTGGCTGAAAATCACAAAAGAATGTTTTACTAAATCCAAACTCCATGTACCCTACCTAGCTCAGCAACCTCAGAATGCCCATGGCCAATGCAGCACTATTTGACTCTAGGAAAAACACGAGGGAACATGGAAACGGAAAAATAACCATCTTAACTAATTTCAGGGAAATTTTATGAGATTCTTATGCCTGCCTTCTGATTCCCTTAGGCTCTCCTCCATTGCTATCTGTGTTTTGTCTAATAAACTTTTGAGAGCAGAAATACCAAACTTTTAATTGAAAAAAGAAAGTAGTGATAACAAATGTCCCTGCATGCTCACCTCCCACAGTGAAAGTAGCTTTGGATGTATGAAAACATGAACTTTGTGCTAGGCACTGCTTAGTGCCTTACACAACTTATTTAGTATTCATAAAAATACTGCTAAGTATGCACTGTGATCCACCACCAACATGTTCTGTTGAAATAATGCTATCATAGTAAAGTTAAACAGGTTGATTAAGGCTAAATTCTGGAATAGAATTTTGGAGCAGGTCTGTTTGTACTTAACCATTTCATTGTGTGTGTGTGTGTGTGTGTGTGTGTGTGTGTGTTTTCAAATATACATGGAAAGTGTAGTGTATGCTTTTATGTGTGGTGTCAGGATACAAGCTCCAGTGTTATGTAAAGATTTTCTAGATAGCAGTGCAGTGGGCTGTGAACTTACATGAAATGGGTTTTTAAAATCTCAGTTCTAAATACTGATATGAGTTAATAGTGTTCAAAAACCCAATGACATGGCAAATGAAAAAGTGAAAGCTTTGCTTTTCTTGACAACAGAAAACTGAACTCTCAGTATTGGGGATATGTTGTGTTCTAGGCAAGACGAATCAACTTCTAAATGAACAGTTAGAGAAGACTAGATGATTGAGTAGGTCAAAGCTCATTTAGTCTTTTACGTCATCTCTTCCTAGACAACACCTAATCACTTTTTTTCAGAAATGCTAGCATTTCTACAGACTGTCTACATTCAAAGGACACATACATTTCAAGCTCCCTTCCATATACAAGGACAATTCACTATAAACCTATTTATTGGTTTTTATTATACCAGTGTCCACCAAAACTTATCCATCCATTCACAGGGAATGGTTATCATAAATCCACCTTAATTAAGTATGTTTGACTTCAAGGTTTTATAGAACAGACTTAACTGTACTTTCCTTACGGCTGAGCAGTAAGTAGAAGCTGGAGTTCTGGATGTTTCAGATATGCACAGGTCAGGATACACAGAGAATGGGTTTGCACTGAAAGCTGTCATCTTCCATTTCTTTCTCGCTCTGAAATCTTCATCACAGGCCTATGCTAACACAGACATGAGGGACAGCACCAGAGTTGGGAACTTCCAGTGTCAGCAGCAAGGGTTTTCCATTTTTGGACTTATCTTGGTTCATCCTTGCTCTGATGACAAGATTGTTTTGAGTGCACCAGTGATGCAACATCTGCACACTTACAAGACACATAGGAACACAATACAATTGGATGATCAAAGGACCAGTAATTGGAAAATGGCTGAGACTTTCAAGAAGTGAACATTTTTTGGTATGTTTTTTCATTCGTTTTTTAAAATTTTGTTTATGTGTATGCACCTGTGTGAGCACATGCCACGAGTTTATGGGTAATAGAGGAAGCCAAAAGAGGGTGTGGGACCCTGGAGTGAGTGCTGGGGCCAAAATGGGGTCCTCTAGAAGCAGCCACCTCTAGAAGAGCCATCTCTTCTTCAGCCGCATAATTCAGTAAGATTTTAAAGAAAGGGTTTCCCCATAATCTTTACTGTAAGGCTTTCTGAAGATAGGAAATGATTCAAAAGATAGTGAATACTTTTAGTTTTTGTGGAGCTTGTTTCTAAATAAGTAGAAGAAAAACAAAAACTGACAAAGCAGAAACTTGAATTCATAAAGATTCATGTCCTGAGCCCTCCAGTTCTGTATATCTAAAGTCTTCGTATGTCTGAAGTCTTGGGGGTAGTCCTTAACTCCTTTTTTCATTCTCAGGCGATCCTGTCATAAAGATGGATACAGAAGGAGATCACTTTACACATCCCCTTCCCTGATGTCCCTGCAGAACTGCATTACTGTTATCTCTCTTTCTTGCCCCTCCTTAGCATCTTCTCAAACCAGAGGCTAATGATACTTAAAAAATATAAGTTGGGTTTCTCCCAGTGGATTGATGTTTTAGTTCTTGTAGTTCCCATAGAGCCTTGTGTGATCTGAGTCTAGCCCCCTGATCTCTGGCCCTTAAACTAGATTCCTTCTCTGCTCGAGTCACATAGGCCTTACTGCTCTATATGGACCATACCAGACTTACTTTTGACCTAGGACTCTCAGTCCTTCATGTGAATGTCCCCTTGTCACGCATCCACATGTCTCCTTTCCTGTATTACTTTTCTCCATGTCACCCACCACCAGTTCATAAATTCTTTCTAATTTACATTTTGTTGTCTTTTTACCACAATGTAAGCTCTATAAAGGCAGACAGTTTGCTTGTCATGCCTTGTATCTATAGAACCTGGAACAAAAATAGGTAATCAAGAAATATGTGTGCAATTAAGTGAAACATGCCAATTAGATTCTCTTATTGAATAGATAAAGGGACTAAGGACTAGAGAGATGAATTGATGAACTTTTTACTTTTTTTAAGATAGGGTCTCATGCTATAGCTATGTAGGCCAGGATAGCTTCAAATTCACAGAGGTCAGCCTGTTCTCTGCCTCCTGAATGCTGGCATTAAATTATGCACCACCACACATGGATGAGTTGATTTTCTGTAGTATCTACCTTTGGTTAGAGTTAGATTTACAGGTGTTGATTGTCAGTGTATTGTGCTTTTTCCACATGAAGTATTTTGTTTTGAGTTAATCTTTTTCAACTTTTAAAATGTATTCTTTGTATCTTTTATATCATGCATCTCAATGGCGTTCATTTTCCATCCCTGTGTATCTGCCCTCTGCTTTTGGAACTCCCCAATAAAATTTAATAGAAAAGAGGAAAAAAAAGGGAAAAAATGTTTTCATAAAGCCTTTAGTGTGACACAGTGAGTCATGTAGTAAACCCTTTTGCATATATCTTGCAAGAGTTCGTTGCAGAGAGTCATTGGTCTGGTTCAAGACCTCTTGTTTCTGTTACACCATCGATGCTGGGCCCTCACTGGGACTCCTCTTGGTTATTCTGCTGTTGCCCTGTGTTTTGACGATCCTGCAGCTTTGGGTCTGCAGGACTGGTCCCTTCATGTGTTCCAGCAGACCACAGATGAGGTAGATGTTGGGGTGGGCCAACACACAACCCTGGTC